GGGGGCACGTGCTTGGCGTGTGGACGTGCTGAGTGCTAGTGCAGGTATCAGGTACGAAGGCCTGTGCATGACCAGTAGTCATCGGACGTGAAGGGCACAATGAGGCACCTGCAGGACTGTCTGACAATATCAATTGAAAAAGAAGAAACCAACCGCTTCGCACTGCGCGGCTGGCTAATTCAACGTGCTTCTGTGACTGCTCACCTCACCAAGGTCGGACGTTAGGCATTGACCCCCACAGAGCATGTGGCTGGTGCCTCGGTGAATGCACCCACCTTGCCGAACCTTCATGTACCACACATCGACAGAACTACATGTACCTACCTACCAACCGATGCGTCCTCCATCACTGGCGTCAACCAACCGAACATCGTGCCATTGCGACCGGGGTATTCTCGCCAAGGACATGCTTTGTGTCGATGAAATTTAATTCCTCAATTGCTGACCGCCTGCCATGATCCCTCCGCTCGCTGCACCACTGTCGGTATCGCCAAGGCACCATGCAACTTAGAGGGTAGGTAGACTCGATCGCGGCACTTGTGTACGGAGAGCATCGCGTGGTACTGGCAATCCCAAAAGTGAAAGACATGGTCAGGCAGAACCCAGGTCCAGGGCCATCCTACCACCACAGGAGATCTCGGTCGCCGAATGAAATAGCAGTCCTGACGAGTTGGCCTGAGGCGATCTCGTTCTTGATCCTTCCTGCTTATCTGCCAGAGCTTCCATGCCGTCGGAACCAACGGAGTCAAAGCTCCAACCTCGAAAGAAGGGGTTCGTTCATCCATCCTCCACCCCTGCCTGTCATCTGCGCCAGCACCTTATTCCCCTACGGCCATACACCCTGTCAGGGTATTGAGCGAATGAGCGAGTGCAGGTATTAATTAGGGTGGTCAACCATGCAGCAGCACGACAGTAACGTCCAAAGACGTGCTTTGACCAGCCCGAGACATCTCTGGCCTGCCTCTCGTTATGGTCGGACCGCCAAATGAAGATGACTTGGACTGAGGTATTCTCCTTGCAATCCAAATAATCGTACTTTCCAACAGGCCTGAAGTCCTCATTGAAGGAATCCTCGTCATCATGGAGAGGAGAGGAGGTCTGAATCTTGGGGCTTGTTCGGTAAGGATGACGTCTGATTGGGAGCTCTCTTATCTCTCGGCAAAGTGGGTCGATGGCTGCAGCACGTTCTTGGCGAGATAAGGGAATCCCTGCGAGACCTTCTTGACGTCGACCATCCACCTCGAGCCTACCTGGAGACGCCAACGACACGCCAAATGCAGCGGATTCTGGGCCAAACAAACACAAAGTAGACTGCAATGCGAATACTATTCACGGTTCCGGCATTCAGGTTCCGGACGAGTGCCTTTCTGACCAGTCTGCGTTATCAACGATGTTCCATTAGTGTTTGCGCTTGCTAACATTTCCAACCGCCAAGCGCCCAGCCGCCATCCCACCGTCAACCTCCCTCAGCGCGTCTTTGATCAGCTTCGGTCCTGATACCGGAGGAGAGGTCTGACCCTAATAGTTACCTGAGAGAGACAATCCTAGTGGCCGGCAAGCATGACCCTGAAGATAGGCAAAACGCACTCTTTGCCGCTGCACTTGAGCGCGGCACCACCAAGCCGAAGGCGTTGCAGACACTGCTCGCTCAGGGTCAAACCGATCCCCCGTCTTATTCACAAGTTGATCTACGAGGAGCAGGCCATCAACCTTCATCATCGTAAAAGCTCAAGTGTCAGATTCACCATCTAGATCGAGTCGTTTCATTCCTTTTTCTGGGTGCATGCCACCTCGAAGCCGGGTGATCGTCCACCATGCAGCTCCGCGATCGATACCACATTGCACGCGCTTGCGTCCCTGCTTCTCTGCGCCCGCAAGGTGTCAACTGCCGGATCTCATAACAGTCCTAAAGCTCCCATCCTCTAGACTAGCACCATCTTTCGACCTGGATCAAGTTCGGCAGACTTCTGTTCCTGCTTCCTTGCGGGCGCTCGCCCCCTCCCAAACCCCTCTTGGCGAAGGCTTGCGGTCCTCGTCTGCCGGAGATCTGGCACTTGCCCGCTGGTCCATAGGGCTTTGCGGGCGTATATCATGCTTGGTGCCCCATTTTCTTCGATTCCCCATATGCGCTGTTCTGCACGTGTGCAGACGCAGAAGACCCAGTGCAACATATAAGGTGCTCTGTTCACCGTTGAAGAAAGTGGCTTGAACCTTTCTTTGTGTTATGGGCTGACCCGCCCTCACGCTCTCGCAGTACGATACCTCGCCGCCTTGACGCGCTCAAGGTATATGTAATCGTCAACAGCAGGATGACAATAGCTACGATATATCATGACACATTCATCGGGTTACCCTAGCTTTCATGTCCACTCGAATGCTCATTCGCAGTGACAGAAAAGTCGTAACTTTTCATGCCACAGTCGAAACGACTTTGAAGCTCCTCTTGAGTTTATCCAGCAGAAAATTCCATTCAGAACTTACTTCCACTGGAGCCAAGTGCCTCCTGTAGTGTTTTACGGGTCAACCCGCACTCACAGAACCAACGCAACACCTGTTCGCAATCACGGTTCTCAATTGACGACCAATGGAGGATATTTGACGACTTTTCTCATGGCATCCGTCTAACACACCAAGCCGCCATCAATCTGGTACACTGAACCTGTGATGAACTTGCTCTCGTCTCCCAGCAAGAATACAATCAGTGCGGCGACCTCGTTCGGTTGGCCCTGTCTTGGCAAAGCCATAGAATAAGATGTCGGCTTCTCACCCCGACGTTGAATCGATGTCTCCAAGAGAGGTGTCTCAATGGGGCCGCTGCTTACTGTCAGTGACTCTTTCACATCTGGACACAACGCGTTATCACTCACGGAGCAACTGCATTGACCCGCACGTGTCTCGACCCGAGCTCCTTCGCGGCCGTCTTCGTCAAACCCACAACACCATGCTTGCTTGTGACATAGGCAGCGCTGTTCGGCAAGCCGATGATTCCTGCCATCGATGCAGCATTGACCACAGAGGCGCCGTCTTTCAATGCTGGGATCTGTGCCCGCAACGAATTCAATACGCCCTTGATGTTAACTCCCATAACAAAATCCCAGTCGTCGTCATCGATTTCCGCAATGGAAGCAATGTTCTGCTGCTTTCCAATGACGCCTGCCAGATTTGCTGCGCCATCCAGCTGGCCGAACTCATCAGCAGCTTCGTGGATCCAACCTTCAACGGCTGCCCGGTCTCGCACGTCGACCTGTTTCGAGTGAATGTTCTCTGGGCCGGCGACTTCTGCCAGTTCAGCTCTGACCTCTTCAAGAAGCGATGCATTGGCGTCGGCGAGGGACAGCCGAGCGCCGAGAGACGCGAGCTGGGTTGCCGTGGCGCGGCCAATTCCTGATGCTGCGCCTGTAATGGCGAAAGCTTTGCCTTTAATGGTGGACATAATGGTGAGTGAAGCGCTGGTGCAGGATACAGAAGGCGAGCATGGGCTGTCAATTCTATGGATTGGATGCGATCGATTCAGTACAGGTACTTATGGGGCATGCGCCGCATGCTTTGCGCATCCGAGGCGGGGTTCGGACTTCGTCGGAATGCCGCGAAACGACACCCGGGTTCCGGCCAACGCTAAAAATTGTCATGTCGGGTAATGTCGCCCGACATGTTGAACCCCCTATATTAAAAACGCGGCCCTTTACTAGAGGTATATAATATATTGCCTTAAGTCTTAGCACTACAATAGTTTTCCGCGAGTGCAACACGTTGGACTGGAGCCGATGACTGGGGATACGCCGAGTGTTTCCAAGTTCGTGGCGAGTGAGGTCAATGATAACCAGCTAGAGCCGCATCACGACGAGTACCGTTCTTAAAGCGACAACAAAGATGCAGTGCCTCGATCGCGTCACAAATGGCAACCTCAACCAACCCAATTGATTTCACAGGCGAATTTGAATGAAGAATCGATTGTTTCTAGCAGTGACTTTGACTTGAATGAATACTCGTTGGTTTGAGCCCTAGCAGAAACAAGGTCGTTCCTCGGGATACCTATGGCGCTGCGCTGTCGAAGCTGCGCTCAGCTGTCTAGTAGACGTATTCAAAGTTAGGGTTCTCCTTATCCGTCATATCTGTAAAGGCAGTGACGTTGAGCTCATCGGCCATAAAGCTGCCGTTGGCGCGCATGGCGGCACGCTTCTCCTCCTTTCTCTTGTTCTCCCACTTGAAGGCATAGCGGAACACGAAGAAGAGAGCGAGCTCAATGCAGTTCGCCACGAGGATGGAGCCGATGCCGAGCTGGTACTTCGGGGCCTGTTTAGTGAGGTAGAAGAATGGGCTGACAATGTTGCCGATGCAGGCGCCGAACCAGATCATGCCTGAAACAATCATCTTCTTCGACTGACCGCCCGTGTTGGAGGTGATCAGAGAAAGAGAAATGACGAATGATGCCTGGTACGAGCCGGTGAGGTAGCTAGGAAATGATTGTTAGCTTTGAGCCTACAAAGTCAGAGCCACTCCCACATACAAGCAGACAAGCCGTCCAAAGTAGGCGTCTTTGGGGGCAAGAAGGAAGCCGAGAGATCCAGCAATAGTCGGAATCATGAAGATTGCGCAAACCAAAGTGCGACTGTTGTGGGGCATATATCTGTTGGCGAGAGCACCCAGGCCAATCCAGACGACCACCAGAGCACCCTGAGGAATGCCGAGCAAAGCGGTCTCGAGAGTGTCGAATCCAAGGCCCTTGATCACCAGCGTGGAGAAGTTGGAAATGCCTCCATTGGGAACGTTGGCAACGAAGCCGAGCAGAGTGAAGAGCCAGGTCTTGTAATCGCAGTATGCCTCCTTGATCTGGCCCCAGTTGATTATCCGTTGTTCTATTCCCGTCTGATTGCGACGCATACGAGCGATCATGATCAGTTTCTCTTCGCGGTCGAAGCCCCAGATGGTGCGAGGCGAGTTCGGCAACATGAAACAGAGGATGATAGCCCAGAATGAGCAGAATGCACCGACGACAAGGAACTCGTAGCGCCATGACTCCAATGCTCCCTTGATATGTCCAATGCCGTAGCCTAAGTCGTCAGTAGCTGCAAAATGAACCAAGGATGGCTGTGGCTTACCGATCAAGCCTCCTCCAGCAACACCAATGCCATTCCATGCATACCAAGCCGAGATGCGCGAGGGCTGTTCCTCGCGGGTGTAGTACATTGAAGTGATCAACATGAAAGCAGGATCTGCGATGGCCTCAAAAGCACCAGACAGAACTCTGAGGGCTAGCAGGCCCCAGAAGTTATGAGCTGCAGCTTGTGCCATGAGCAACGCACCCCACATGAAGATGTTGAAGGACAAGTACCAAGCAGGCGGGCAGCGCTGCATGATGAGGTTCGAGGGAATTGCCCAGATCAGCCAACCAAAGTAAAAGCTGCTCGAGAGCCAGGAGTATTGGTCGCCCTTGAGATTGAGATCGTCTTTGAGGCCAAAGATGGCTGCATAGGATCTGTACTCGTTAGTGCATGTAATTTCCGGATGAAAGGACTCTACTCACAGAGTGGTCTTGTCAACGTAGTAGAAGAAGTAGCATATGCCTAAAAGGGGCAGTATTCGCATGTCAATCTTGCGGAGGACCTTTTTCTCGGCCACCTGATCGATCGACTCATCGTTGGGGTACCTTGCGAGGGCTTCGATGTACAACTCAGGGTCCGGATGATTGACATCCTCGTTGATCACACTCGGCTTCCCAAGCTCCTCCTCAACGTACTCGACACCACTTTTTCTTTCTTCGCCGGTGGGCTTTGTTGCGATGTCTTTAATGTCGGCCATGATGAAGATCGTTTCTGCCAGCTGCGTCGTCGGTCCTTGGACTTGGTGTTGAAGTGACTGAATTGCAGACTACTACAAATTGCTTATCACGGGGAATCGATGGCTTCTTTATACATATGTCACTCTTGAATCGTACCAGTCAGTCGCCTCCGACGTCGAGTCAGATGTTTGTGGAGTCGAAACCTTGGTTCGGTGGGGAGGCGATCACCGTCGGCTGATCCTGGGGGAGGAGTCGAGTCAGTGGGGCGCCACGTTCTAGTAGCGGTCATCGTTCCGATGGGCAACATTCATGCCCACTAACAATACGACGGCATTTGGATAATTTGATGAGTAAACCCTGGAGGCAGAGACCTTTCGTTGAATTATGTATGTCGAGCCAAGACATGTACTGCGCCGAGACGAGTTGTTGGGTTGCTCTCTCTGTCCATCATTGCAACGTCTGACGACCCGTCAAACCAAACGAGTCCCGGCCGTCGCATCGGGTTGGTAGCACTGCGGGCTTCCGACCGCCGTGTCGACAGCTCCGACCCCACTGCCGACCCACCTCAGCTAACGCTCCACAAGCCCCCAGATGTCGGCATGCGACGGAACCCATCTGATGGCTGCATTACTAGGTCACTAGCAACAGCCTCCATCATGTACCTATGGATCTCAAGTCGTATGTGAATGGTGGAATTCTTGTTTCCGAAGCGTCGGCGGGGACTCAGCAACTGGTGGCTTCGTCTGGTAATTTTCCCGCCACTGGGGATGACACTCGGTTTCAGTAAGCTGTCAGACGTGTTTTCGAGGCTGCGCTTCTTTTTGGAGATGATCAAGTTGGGATCACTCATGGCCAGCATCATAAGCCAGACACCCAGCGTTGATAATCCCAAGATGCATTCGTCTAGAATGCATGACCGAGTCAGATGTATAGAGTATAGACGCGAACCTTGCATTCAGGGTGCCGCGCCCTCGACATCATTATTGGTGCAAATTGCAATTCATACTGGCTGAAGATTCTCACCTTTTCTTATTGAGTAGTAGGCCAATGCCACGAGAGTCTCACGTCAAGCGTCATCCATCTCTCAAGGGGTCTCTAAGTATACTTTTCACACCATAGGCTTACATCCTTTCTTGGATGAAGTGCCTCATCGCGCTTGCCCCCTCACTGGGTCAGCCCTCTATGAAGGATACCCTGCTTCCGTTCCTTTACTATTACAATACCGTACATGAAGACCCTCAAGAGTGTAAGAGGAGGACTAGACCCTCGACCAACAAACCGAAGGATCCAGCGGTGTTGACATTACGTATCACGTGTAAAACCGGCGCTTGGGACAACTTGTAAGGTACGACTTGCAAGACTTCCTCGCAGGGAGACTCATATGGTATAGGCATCCCGCTCCAGTGGGGTTACTCAGCACGGCGCGCTCGCGCGAAAGATCAAATATGACTTGGCTCCATCTCATCAAGCGCCGCGAGCTCTGGCCTAGACTGTTCTATCCTGCTGGTAGACAGTGTTTCACATGGACATAGCGGTGAGGCGGCAAGTAAACCGTCGATGTCTTCCAAAGGCGACTATAGTTATCACAACCACGCCTTTTATATCCAAGAGATGTTCCAATCTGCAGCTCAGAGTTGAGTAGTGAGAGTAGCAGCCTGTGCATAAGCACGATACACAGAGCAATTAGGTTGCCAACTTATGAATCCTGAACAAGTTGTGACTCTTGATCTACCATTCGGCAACCTCCCTAACACCAGGCTTCTGCATCCTTATAACCTCATCGCAATTCAAGAGGCAAAGAGGATCGAATGCCTCTCTTATTTGCATGCTATTAGAAAGCGCCAAGACCAACACGAACAACTCACCCGTCGCATTGCCTCAACGGTCGCCTCGCCGAATTCGTGTTTCACATAGTCTCTTTTGACCAAGCCAACACCATGTTCACCCTGGTACGCGTCAGGATAAACCACAATCTTCATTCTGTAGTACTCACAGAAGCTGGACCCTATAACTCAATTGCTCTCTTGACCATGTCGCGTGATGCCCAACGGGGACTCGCGACTTGTTCAGCCACAGTAGAACGAATATCCCTGCACGACCACTGTGTTGTTGAATATCCCAATGGTTTAAACGATATTCACGTTAGCGTCGGCTTGGTGTTGAGACGAGCACTTAAATGAGTTGGGCTTCTCGATTGCTGGATTATATTATAAAGTATGCACTACGTGCAACCTTTCTTCTTTGAACATATAAGTCCGTATGAAGAGCGAGTATGAACTTGAGCTCAACGCGGAGTGCTGAGTTTGTCTTTACTCACTTTGCGCTTCTGCATCTAGGTGGACGACCGGTTGGGCCTTTTTCGTTGGTTTGCTTCAAGGTACGTTAAGAGTGATCTGCATTAACCTCTTCTAAAAACTAATAAGTTCACAGGAGGATTTACCATGATCGGTTACGGTATGGTCGCTTTAATATGTGAAGAGGTTCCGAATCCTCGCCGAGAGGTCCCCAAGGGCTTAGTTCTCTCTGTCCTCGCCATGGGCATAACTGGCTTGGTCTATCTGATTCCTATTCTTTTTGTGCTCCCCGACGTGTCACTGCTGCTATCCGTCGCCAACGGTCAACCCATCGATCTTCTCTTCAAGACCGTTAACGGCTCAGTTGCCGGCGGCTTTGATCTCCTGTTCCTTCTACTGGGTATCCTCTTGTTTGCTGGTGTTGGTGCCATCACTGCAGCATCCCGGATTACCTACGCCTTTGCCTGCGACAAAGCGATTCCAGGACATCACATCTGGAGCCGCGTAGATAGACGACTGGGAGTTCCAATCTGGTCGCTCAGGCTGACGGACGCGGTCAACGCCCTTCTCGTATGCATCTATTTCGGTTCATCGGCTGCTATTAATGGCATTACAGGGGTGCGCGCCGTCTCTCTATCCACCTCATATGGACTTCCGGTTTTTGTAAGTGTGTTGCGAGGCTGACGCGCCGTGGCCAACTCCCCTTTCAGCCACGGGAGGTTAGGCCTCTCTATCAACATGATTTGTATCACATGGAACGCCTTCTCGATGGTCATTTTTTGCATGCCCGTGGCCCTGCCAGTGGATGCATCGACGATGAACTATCCCAGCGTTGTGTTCGCAGGCTTTGCAGGTGTAAGTTTGCTGTGGTATCTTGCGTACGGTCGGCAGCACTTCCACGGCCCGCCCCTGCTGGAGGGAGATCTGTGATTGTGACTCTCAGTTTCAGGCAGGAACATTCGTATCGATTCTTCTTATTTTCAAACTTCTAGGGGGAGATGAGTGCTATAGTTTGGACAACCGATTGAAGCTTGTCCATTTGGTCTCGGTGTCTCTACATTCAATGAAGTATCAGCCGACAGGAGACTTAGCCTAGGCTCAGCCTATGCGACATTATAGTGCATGGCGGAATGATCGCAGCAAACCCTCTGGAGGCTTTGAACTCTAGGTTTAGTGCAATGTTGGAGTGCTACTTGCACTCACACGCCTCGAATCCACATGGCAAAGCGTCGATCCTGGCCGTCCTGGGATATGACACTTCCGAGCCATGTTCAATCTTTGTTTTTGTGGCTTGAAATGTAATCCAAGGAAGGTTGCAGAATGCGCCAATGCTTATCTTACCTAAGATGGCAGCTTTCTCAAACTTCGCATGCTTTTGACGAGAGCTGGGAGGGTCACAATCGCGTGTAAGTTGAACGGATGGCCCCAGAGCTGGGAGGGTCACAATCGCGTGTAAGTTGAACGGATGGCCCCAGAAGTGGCGCGGATGCATATTCGTCAGAATGCTATCCGCGCCATATTCACAAATATCCAATCCCACAATGTCTTCCATAATTCGAGTTTAACATCTTTTCATGCCGCTCACTACAGCTTCGGAACCGGGTTTGTCAGGGTTCAATTTATGCTCAGGGCCAGACTGCCAGTTTTCCCAATAACCGTCAAGTTCGGTTTCTCAAGGCCTTATCCTGAACGCCGCTCAAAATCCTGAACCGCGAGTCGCTAGTCATCTGCCATTGGACGACATACAAAGATGACCATGCACGATGGTGGCGCGACCTGGAAGGCAATCGATTGAACAGGCTTGCAGTTTCGGCTAAATATCATTCAACGAAGCAGAATATCGCTTTCCCGCCAGACCCTTGACAGTAAAGGCTAGGCGAACGTCTTCAATGCAACAAGCTCAGCTACCCGTCGGGACCGAAGATCTTGAAATATGCCCGAGGAGCGACGACCCGCATGCCACTCAGTGCGCAGCGGACTTTGCGTGGCCTTTCAAACCTTTAAAACCTTTAAAACCTGATACGGCCTCAATATACAAAAACACACCCCAAGAAAGCCCAGGTCGCCATCACGAACTTTTGACCATCTAGCTGTGTCGACACAATAGGCTGCTAGAATGAGGTTCCACCCAGCAGTTATCTCAGTTCTGGGGTTGACACTAGCTCATGCCCAGTCATACGACTACATCATTGTTGGGGCCGGAACAGCTGGGTTGGTTGTTGCCAATCGTCTTTCAGAGGACCCGTCGGTGAACGTCGTCGTGGTGGAACCTGGCACTGATGAACGAGACAATCCACACATCAGGGGGACCGACCAGTTTGCCTAGGCGTTTGACACTCGGCTCGACTGGAACTACACCACGACACCACAGGTCCATGCGGGCGGCAGATCCGTGACCCTGCACCAAGGCAGAGTTTGGGGCGGGACCAGCGCAATCAATGGTAAGAGCAACACGGTATCGCATGTTGGAGCGAGAGACTGAAAATTACAGGTATGGCCTATGTGAGGGGCAATCGCGCTGAGTTTGATATTTGGGAAGAACTCGGAAATCCTGGGTGGAACTGGGATACCATGCTCCCATACTTTAAAAAGTCGGAGAAGTACTTCATCCCCCGGGAGGACCAGTTGGCTGCCGGTGCATCATATGAACCGCAGCACCACGGATTCAAAGGCCCGCTGCATGTTGGTCTGGCCCCCGCGTTCACCAACACTTCGGCGTCGCCTCGTCTACACGCGGCGTGGGAGAGCCTTTCCGTCCCGCGTAACCCCGACTTCAACAGCGGCAGCGTTCGGGGGTACTCTTATCCACCATCAACTCTGGACCCGACGCTCAACGTTCGATATGATTCCTCTCGAGCATACATACATCCTGTCGAACATCGCCCCAATCTGCAAATTCTGCAAGGCACCGTCAAGCGGATTACGTGGGCTCGTCAGCTGCGGAAGCAGACACAATGCCAGGGAAAAGGGTTAGTCGCAAATGGAGTTGAGTATCTGACCGAAGCAGGTGAAATGAAGATCATTAGAGCCACAAAAGAGGTTGTAGTGTCGGCTGGGGCAATCCGGACGCCAGGTGTACTCGAAGGCTCAGGCGTTGGTAATCCTCAGTAAGTATCCGTCTCAGCGTTCGCAACTGGTCCAAACTGATAGGAGAATCGGCAGGATACTCAAAGCTCTTGGTATTGAGACCAAAATCGATCTTCCAGGCGTCGGCGAGAACCTTCTGGAACAACCTCATCATACGCTCGTGTATAATGGCAACCTTGAAGAATCTACCAACGCATTTTATGCGTACATCACAGCAGAGAACCTTTTCGGTGAGCGGCTGGCAGCCGTGGAAGCTTCTTCTCGTGCTCGCATCCCCGAGTTCGCTAGGGCATCAGTCGAGGCCTCAGGAGACGGAGCGCTGAATGCAATTGTGATCGAGAAACTATTTACGATCCAGCATGACCTCATGTTCAAGAAGAACGCCACCATTGCCGAGATCCTTACCATTATCGCAGTGGGTCTTCAATTCTCGGACTACTGGATCCTATTCCCCTTCTCTAGGGGCAGCGTTCACCTGTCATCCAAGGAAGACATCGACAAGCCGCTATTCGATCCTCGTCTCATGCTCGCAGATTTCGATGTTCAAACAACTGTCGCTGCAGGACGATTGGCCAAGAGGTTCTGGCAATCAGAGCCGGTCGCTGCTTATGTGGGCGGTCAGGTTTTGCCAGATGCTGTGACATTGCCCGATGATGCCACTGACGCGCAATGGGAGACGTGGGCGCGAAATAACGGTGAGCTTTCATGACACCTGTGGAACAACAGACGATCTGACGAGACTGACCCAGCTGTTCCCAATGCACACCCGGTCGGCACAGCCTCCATGATGTCGAGGGAGCTAGGGGGTGTGGTTGACCCGGAGCTGAAGGTCTACGGCACAGCCAACGTTCGCATCGTCGATGCATCGGTAATGCCAATCCAGACCAGTGGTCATCTGACCTCGACAATATATGCTCTAGCAGAGAGACTGTCGGACATCATCAAGGACACTGCCTAAGCAGGTCGTCTTGGCAGCGTCCAAAACGCTGAGAGCAAACAAGCCCAATTTAAGGATATGGCAAACAGCCTGAAGGATCCAGTACGGCAATGATAAAAGCAGCTTCATGTTCAATCACCGGCTCTAAATTATGAAGAAGGAAATGCGAGGATTTCCCAGCAAGGTATTATTGGCCACAATCGAAGAAACCCCAGTCACCACCCATTTTCCCTGAATGATCGCAAAGGAGGTGGAACCAACTTACACGGACAAAGCGTTAATAATCCAAGCGCAAATGACAATGAAATGCCATTCGATTCTCTCACATCAGTGACTGACTATGTGATTGTTGGTGATTTGTTGCTATGAAAATCGTGCCGAGGCCGCCATCACGCATGGACATGAGGGGTAATCTCAATGCAGCCACCACAGCAAAAGTACCATCACCACCACAAGAAGTTTGACGCACGGAACCAAGATCCGCGCCTCCGGATGACATACTACGGCACAGAATCGTACTTGAAATCGAACGGAAGCCAATGATATGACACAGTGACCTGTCAGGTGTGACCCCTACTTCGAAATAAGAACGGCACGGCCCCGCATCGGCGCAACGCGTCAGTAACTGCCGTACGCTACCTCGGCACGCCACCGGAATATTCTAATCAAACGTCCTCACTTGGACACTTTAAAAAACACGAGTACGCCTCGGCGACGATTTCACAGTTTGCAACTTATATTCCCATTAGACCAGCTACAGAATCGTTTCCTACTGAAAGGAGTCACAGCAGCGACTTCCAGCAATAATCGCTCTCATTTCCATTCATAAAAGTCACGCTCATTCCACCGACAGCCCGTTGGCACGTCACGCTTTAGTACGTGTAGCGGAAACCGCGCTGCGAGTCCTCCTGCGCTCTGTTAGTCTCAGGGGTATCACCAAAGTTGGTTGCAGGAGAGCGGGGACAAAAAACTTACCTCGTTATTCTCCAGCTCCTTCTCGCCGCGCTCGGCCTTGCCGTTCTGCCTCTTGAAGTCAAGGCTCAGAATGCCGACAAGGATGAGAGTAAGCAGGCAGCAGGCAATGCAAGCGTACATGCCGGGGCGGTAGTGGGGCATGTCCTGGGCGCGGAAGAGCAGGCTGCCGGCGATACCGCCGACGCCGCCAAAGCTGACAAGAGTGGCGCTGCAGAAGGCACGCTTCCACTGGCCGCGGATGTTGTTGGCTTGGTAGGCCATGACGGCGGGGATGTTGGAGTTGGCACCAGCGGTGACGAGGAAGACACCAAAGTAGCGGACGTTGGCGTTGGGGTGGAAGCCCATGATGGGGAGGCCGATGAGGCAGAGGATGACGTTGATGATGATGATGGGGCCACGGACGCGGTACTTGTCGCCGAGCCAGGCCGTGGCGAACATGACGCAGCCGGCAAAGGCGTAGGGGGGGCGACAAGGCACTGAGCCTCGCCGACGGTGAAGCCCATGTTGATCTGGAGGATGATGGGCAGGAAGTAGGCGAGGGCATACGACAGGGTGGTCGTGTTGAAGAAGATCATTGCGTAAGCCCAAATCTTCCAGTCGGCGCCGGCAGCGAAGAAGCGGCGGGCGTTGAAAGGAGGCGTCTTGGCATCGCCACGGTCATGGTTCACGCGGTCAACGACCCACTCGAGCTCGCGCTCGCCGAGGAAGTTCCAAGTCTTGCGCCTCGAATCGGGGAAGTCGACAAGCAGCCAGTAGCCGAGGACGGCGAGAAGGCAGGTGATGATACCTTCAATGATGAAGATCCAGCGCCAACCGGTCAGGTTAGCGAGGCCGTTCATCTGCATGAGGCCGTAGGCCAGAATGCCAGCAAAGGCGGAGGCGACGCATCCGAGGAGGTAGAAGACGGAGTACCGCTTGCCAACCTCAACTACGCCAAGACGTCAGTATGATACTCAATCAACTGCGACGGACATCATTAACAAGATTGAAGAGCAACACATACATCGGGTATACCAGGTGCTGAGCAGGTAGACGCAGCTGGGGAAGAAACCAGCCTCAAGGACACCAAGAAGGACACGGCACACGGCGAGGTGGGTGAAGTTCTGAGAAAAGCCCATGCCGATCATGACGCTACCCCACATGAGGCAGATGCCTGCGAGATGAATGCGAGGTCCCAGCTTGCGGACGATGATGGTCGACGGCGGCTGGAAGAGGATGTAGGGGATGAAGAAGACAAGCGACGCGATGCTCTGTGAGTATCCCAGTGGTCAGCCAAGGTGCACCCATTCACAGGCACTGAAGTTGGGGGTTCAAGGGTATTGCATACGTATCGGTTCTCGACAATGAGGTTGAGCTCGACATTCATGCCGGCAATGGCGGCGGCCGACAAGTTGGTTCGATCCATGAGGGAGACGCAGTACATCAGACCGACGATGACAACAAGGCGACGATCGACGCGTCTGATGATCTTGCGCTGCTCCTCAGGCGTGAAGCCATGGTCGGGAGCAGAGGAACCAGGCGTGCGGACGCCATCGGCCGAGTCGACGCGGTTCGCCTTGTCGCCAATGTGCTCGGTCTCGAAGTCCTCCTTCTCGAGCTCACGATCGCGTGTGCTCATGATGGGCAGGCTGTATGAAAGAGTATGAGCGGGTGAGTATGGGATGAAGCTGTTCGGGAAACAGCCGGTGAGGTACTGGTCTTGGTTCTTGTCGTGTCGTCGCTTGTGCACCCCGAGACGTTTTTGGGACCTTGAAGGATGGGATGAGAGAGTCTTGGGCCTACCCTTTTTTTCTCTTTGCATCGGATTTCAGGAAAGCTTCTCACCCAGGCCTTTTGTAGATCGACCGGCGACGTGTCCCAGAGCAGACGAGACCCAGACCAGGCCACACCAGACCCATACCATGGGATCGGGACCCCTCCCATCACTATCCACCCTCACCTACCTATTCATGGGGCCCCCATTACGCATCACACACTACGAACCTAGCACCTTGCACCACCCGGCAAGCTCCACGCGCCTTTCCCCAGCTTTGGCTGGGCTTGCCTTGCCTGGCGTTGCCCTGCCTTGAAAGGGGGGTGACAAGCCGCTCTGGCGCTGCTCGGAAGAAGCACACAAACACGGTTGCGAGAGCCAATCAGACAAAGAAGAGCGAGCCAAGATGCCGAGGGTGGCGGTCTTCGACAGCCATCAGCGTCTTGGCCAACCGTCCGACTTAGTGGGAGCACATTGTCTGGGGCAGATAAACTCGAGCGTCTTGTGCAAAAGGGGGGGAGGAGGGCAAGGAGGGCGCCGCAATGAACGGTGAATCTGGGGAATGTGGGCTACCCGAGTGCCCCCATCTCGCCCCGGCTGCGGGGTAGAACCTAAGCCGGACGCACAAGAGTCAGCTTAACACCGATAGCGACCAAACACCTGAGAGGAGCGGAGAGAGACAGGGCGCGAGAGGAGAAATACGGGGGAGCAGGGAGGTGGAGTGAACCAGGGGTGGCCCCAGAGCCCCAGTCAAGGCCCACGACCGACCGCAGCTGATGATGCTCGTGCTGCTGCTTCTGTTGCTTTGCTACTACGCCCCCCTCCTTTTGCCTCCATTTCCTTTCCCCCTCCAAAGCCGCCCTCGTTCAAAGCCAACCGGTACTTGGTGCGGCCGATTTCTTGGCACGACGCCATAATTGGCCCAGTCCACGGTTCATTGCCCGTTTTGGTGCTAGATGCGAAAATCCATGAGCATCTCGCTCGTCTGGTTGCGTTTGTATGCCCCCGTCAGAAGGCTGTTCTTCCCCGGAGGACGGAGGGGGGCGCATGGATGCGGTGGGCGCTGTGGATGCCTGGGGGGCCTCCTCGAGATGGATCAGCATGTGGTCTGTCGTCGACTGTTCGCTCATCGTCATGATCGGTGACACATTGGCGTGTTTACCATGTGCGGAGCGCATACCCTTCTGAGCCTCTTGCGCCGCTCAAACTCACGCACCAGCTCCTCTTTGCTCCTCTTTGCACTCAAGCGTAGGCGCGTGGGGAACACATGGCACGGCACGAATGGAGGAGAGACGTGTTAAGGTTGAGGGCATGATCACGATGCGGCCAGTTCCGACTTTGGCCACTGTCAAGAGACAGTTATGGGGGGAGAACGGGCCAGGCCAGGCCAGACCCTGTCCCCCGAAAGGCAGAGACAGAGGGCATTGACAATAAGGGCGCTCTCGTTCGTGTGTTTCCCAATATTGGGTCGTCCCCATCTTCAGACACCGGTTGCATGTCTCGTGGTCATTTCGTTTCATGTCAACTTGCATGCTCACTGCTCACTGCAATCCTTTGAACCTCGATAGTACGAAAGAAACGTCCAACGCCACAGACTGTTCATTTCCCCCGCCATCTAGCTATTCTCCAAAACGCCAGACACCAAGCCCGATATAGGCGTGCCTCGGCAACTCTACTCTTCCTTCATCGTCTCATTGGCTCATCTCGCTCTTCTTCCCAGCCCTTCCCTTCCCCGCACATCTATCTCTCTCTTTCTCTCCATGTCAGAACCTTGACAACGCAAACCAGCCTTAGCTGACCAGACGCGTGCGTCCACGCCCAGGTAATCCTGAGCTAAGGTAATTCCAACGTCCAAGAGGCTGCATGCCACGCGCTGAACGTGAGCACCACGATATGCCTACCGCCCGCCACATCTGCATGCCACGCCATGGCGATCCAACTCACGACAGCCAGCCAACACTTTCACATGTGCGGCGTACATTCACTTCGCAAGTTTCGCTCAAAGTGGCAATGCTCACGATAGAAATGTTCTTGACTGCCACTCCTAGAGCTTCTTCTGATTAAATTGTTTCTCTCGATCCTTCGTGATAGACTCCTGTTTGAGTCTCCTACGCCACGTCACCTCGACCCTACATATGCCTCGCTGGGCTGAATCTGGACTCATCACACCGAGTGAAACAGCCGAGGCATCCTCAGAAGATCTCTATCATACTCCTGACGGGCGGCTGAGTGGTGTGCGTCCTACGGGACATGTCGGGTCATGAGGCTGAAGGCCGAGAGATGAAGTCTTGGTGGCTTGGTGATGGCCTCGGTTGTCGGCCAGGGCATGGTGTTGCGTTGACTATGTATTGTTTTGGGAGATCATAGCTCCCGCATCGCTCAATCAATGCTGCTTTTCCTGCTTCTTCTTTCTTCCTCCAGTGCCTGATGAACTTCGCCTTTCTACCAACCTTTACTACTATGGGCATTCCATTTGCTGCCGCCAGTTTATTCGCATCATCTTAACATGCATCATGAGGTGGTCCACCCTTCTAGTATCTTCCAACCATAGGAAGGCTTTGCATCTATCAAACAGCCGGACTAGAATGATAAGCTCTGCTCATCCCGACGACCTGGATCCTGCCTCTTGCATCTGCCTCCCCCTTGCTGTACAAGGGCGATAGTCGTTTCGACGTAGCGCAAAGGTGATGCAACCTGCCCTAAACTTCAACATCCTGTCCCAAAGCCAGCAGTCCGTAACTATACAGCCACGCCAATACCCCATGAGCCTCAGATACGACCCCAGCCTCATGCAGCTGTCACCCGGGTACGCGTCGAAAAAGGGCAACCCAAGCCCGTCCTAGCGGTCCCGAGACGCCCGAATGCTACTCCTCAGCTCTGAACCACGATGCAGCTTCCCTCGTAGAGTCAAACTTTGTGGCTATGTCCCCCCTTGGTGCATGTTGTTGGCTTGGCCCCCGGACAAACCATCTCAAAACGGACAGTATTGGCCGAAAGGGTGCATCACATGGGCGCCAGTCGTGTCAGATGAGATTTCCGGGGGGGACGCGATCAGGACGGGGTCCATGATGCGGGGAAGAGGATCAGCTCGCTGCTCCCACCGGAGATGCATCGTGGGTATGGCCCTCTTCCGGGCCTGAATGAAATTGAGAGGACGTTATGTTTGTGCTAAATCAAAGTCTGGCATGCTGTGATGCCCAGATAAGCTTGTCCCGTGATAGGGTTTCCAAGCGAAACCGAGAAATCGAGCGCAACCAAGCCCGAAAGCAATATCGGATACAGTCGATACCACGTTCTGCAATACCTTGTCCATAATCTCTTTCGCAGGGAGTTCTCTGAGATAATTCCTCAGATCAGATCTCCACGCATCCTGCCACCATTGCCATTGGGTCAGGTATAGCAACGCTCAATCGAAACGAACTATGTGATGCGTCACGACAGCTCATCGGATTCAGTTGACTGACATCAGGCATGCAGAGCCCACTGCCGCAATATCCACTGTTAGGGTCCAGAGATAATCTCAGCTCTCATTCTTACAAGCTCTCTTGCTGACACGTCCATACATGCCATCCAGGGGATCACGCACAGGACCTCCCAGTTCTCAGCCCCTCAATCACGACCAGAAACCCAACTCTGCATAGCTATCGGCCCCAAGTAACGTCAGTCTACGTATTGAGGAAGTTCAGCGTACTGTCTGGTCATTCTGGCTCCTTCGTTCCCCAGTCAGGCACCCAAGCATGTAGACGCCTTCTCCAACAGAACAACAATGCCGTCGTCTCAAGTCCATACCGACCCTTCAAGCGAATAAGCCGCTCAGGACGAGACGCATGTGACTCTAGGCGACAACGGCTACCATACGGCATGGGACGTTGTGTTACCCTTGAAAGAACTCAAAAAAAGAAAGAGAAAGAAAAAGATTGCAAGCCCGGCAAGTCCAAACTGGCCATGTCCCAAAACACCACGAGCCAAAATGTCACGAGAGAACCATCGGTCACCGGCACCACCACTCCATCCATCGTCATCGTCAAGAGGGCAAGCGAAGACCAACAAGTGGCATCCCACCCCAAGCGCAAGCACCCCGTGGAGCAGGAACAGCGGCGACGCAGTGACTCTGTTGCACAACAGATCGCACAAAATTGGTCTCTTCTATTGTGGATGGATGATGCAGGGATGCGATTGGCCTTTTGGTGAGAAACATCGCACATTACGCTCGACACGATAACTTTATTTGCCTTGGTGAAATTTGCTGCGACGTGGCTGCAGAGGAAACTTTCGTGGGTCGGCCACGGGAGCACTATGGTGAAGCACTAACCTTCACACGCGGACATCACAATAAACACACAACGGCGACCAAACACGGCATTTGAATCATACTCTATTGAACGAACACCTGGGGATCACGATCATGACCCCATGCTAACAAAACAGAAAACGTCGGCTCGACGCCGACCTTGTCGCAGGCCGAAAACAAAACATGGCACCATGAACCGATTGACCCAGCTAACCAAACCATGGTAGCCATCTAAAGCCGAAAGCAATGCAGAGCTATATTAAACAACTGATTCTTGATCGCCATCGGGCAGCCACCGCGGGGGAATCTGTATACATGTGTGGCAACCCTCCCCTCATGCATAAGGCGCGCTTACAGCACGACCATGGCACCGCCGACGGCGGCCGCGAGGACGACGTACAGTCCGACGGCGTAGTTGCCAACAGAGAAGGCCTGCTCCATGCGGCGGTTGGTCAGGCCGAAGCTCGCGTTGTCGTCGGCGTTGCTGCTGCCACCGTTGGTGCCACGAGCAGACGCGGCGGTCGCAGTGGCGGCAACAGCGTTGACGGAGGAGGCAGCGGAGAGCTTGCTGTTGCAAGAAGAGGCAGCAGAGGGAGAAGAGACGCGCTCAGCGTTGCCGTCAAAGTTGCAGGCACTGGAGGCCCTGTTCTGGGCCTCGTAGTACTGGTTCATGACGAAGCCGAGCTTCTGGGTAGCGTTGCACATGGAATAGGCACCGTAGATGCCAGTGGTGGCGTTGGTGGAGATGCCAGCGCAAACCTGGGGGTTGTTACCGCAGATGTTGCCGAAGATCTCACCATACTCCTTGACGCTGACGGAAGACTTGACTTTGCAGGACAGGCTGTTGAACATGCACTCGCAAAGCTCCTGGTCAGGAGTGGGAGGGAGACCGTTGGCGCTAACCTGCCAGTTCTCGCCCAGGTCGGGGCAGGCAGCAGGGCTGTTGGTGGGCTCGTAGTTGGCGCTAGCGGTGGAGGAGGCAGTGGCGGCGTTGACGCGCGAAGAGAGGACCTTGTAGTTCTTCATGACCTCAGCCTTGCTATCACCCTTGAACTTGACGAGGCCGTAGTCGTTGTCTTCCTGGTGGTACATGTAGACGATACCGCCGGAGAAGACCCCGCTCATGTCGTCTGAGTACAGAGCAGTGGTATCCTGGAAGAGACGGCCCTCGGCACCGTCAGGGACGTTGCAGCCGTACTCGGCAAGGAAGACGGGAACAGAGTAGTTGCTGAAGAACTCGACCTGCTTGTCATAGCCCGACTTCTGCATGGAGGACTCGCCACACCAGGAGTAGATGTTGTAGCCCCAGAAGTCAATGGCCTCGTCCTCGGGACCGCAGTTGAAGTAGTGAGCAGAGGGACCACGGATATCAGGGTCGTCGTTGGCGGCGTAACCGACACCCATCCAGCGGTAGTTCTTGGACTTGATGTAGGCCTTGGTGTCACGGACGGCGGCCTTCACGAAGGCCGAGGCGTCGGTGTTGCTGCCGTTGTTGGAGACCTCATTACCGGCGAAGAAGCCGATGGTGTTGTCGTACTGGGCGAGCTCGTCGATGACAGCGGTGTAGCGGTCCCAGACAGCGACATCCCAGTGGGGGTCGTCGCGGTTGATGGACGTGTTGGGCTCGCCAAGATCGGCGACGACGTAGATACCAGCATCCTGGAGCAGGGTCATGCACTTGGAGTGGTCCTTCTTCGGGTCGATGGCGTAGACACGGATGGTGTTGGTGCCGGCGGCAGACAGAATAGGGACATCGCGCTTGCACTTGGCGTCGTCGGCAAGGGGGTCGATGTACTTTCCGTCCTCGTTCTCACCACCGAGACCCGAGGGGTCTTCCTGGTAGGCAATACCCTTGATGAAGAACTGGGTGCCGTTCTCGTAGAAGAACTTGGAGCCCTGCGGAAAGAGGAGATATCAGAATCAGGTTGCGCGAAACCAATGGGGCAGCGAGATGGACGACGTACCTTGGTAACGATGGGGTCGAGGGCAGCAACTTTGCTGGCGAGGAGCAGAGCCGAAACGGCAGCGGTGAAAAACTTGCCCATGGTAACTGATTGTGGATTTCGGTTGGTCGAAGTGACAGACAGTGAAACGCAGGCTGAAAATTGGGTGGGAGAGTGCAGGTTATCAACGTGGAAGGCTGTCGAGGGAGACTAGTTTCTCGTTGTTGGAATGCTGTTGGGCTGAGACCTTGGATGCTTGGCTTGCGGAGTCAAAATGTTCGTCGAAGGCGTTTGGGGCTTGAGGCGCAAAAATCCTGGAGAGGGTTGGTTGGATTGGGGAGGGACAGACTGGGGTTTCAAAAAAACAAGTAAAGAGGTTTTGCAAATGAGAGTGTGAAGTCACAGTAAAGTGATGATAAAAAAAAGCGCACGAGCAAAAGACAGGCTCGAAGACACTCTCTCTCTCTCTCCAGAAAACGAAGGACGGCGAGATGTCGAAGTGTTGACGTTGATGGAAGGAAGAAGGGGGGAGAGGAAGGTTGCGGTACATCCGGAGGGGGGCAATTGTGGTTTTGTCGGACGGCTTGGCTCCTTAGCTGCCGCCTCCAAGTTCCTGGCTGCTCCTAGCTTCTCTCCTTCTTGACTGGTTTGAGTTCCCTGGATCGCCTGCCTCGTATCCACCGGACGGTAGGTGTCCCCGCACGCTGAACGCGAACCTGCCTAGCACTTGGCCAGGGGCACCGGCCACTGTAGCATCATCCACTGGCATTGGGCTGTTGGACCTGGCGATTGGCAACCGCTACACTGCCTTTCGAGCAGGAACATGTGGGCTACGAGGGCCCCATTGGCCAAAGGTTTGGCCAGGCGCCTGGCAGTCGAGGGGGCGCAGTCGGGAAGGATGGCAGAGGTACCCAGAGTCTTGGTGTTGCGCCAGACGAGCTGCAGGTACCGGTTCATCTGCCAGGGGTCCCATCTTCATCTCGTTTCACCCATGGGAGCGGAAGGACCACAGTGCCAGGATCCACGCCGTCAGGGGGGGTCGATGCTTGATGCTCAGGGGAAAATCTGTTAGCTCATCAAGAAGCCCTAACAGGCCAGTACTGGAGCCCACCCTCGCCTTTGTTAGTGACGGTCGCACGCCTTGGCATCATCCCTGCCACAGCCTCCCCATTCAGGTCAGGCGGCAGGCACTGATCGTCATCTCGCACAGTGAGCGATGTGAGGGCCTAGCGTCGTGTCTCCTGATTCTGGACCTAAGGAAAGAAAGGGGCAATCTCCACCCCCTGTGACTGCACCCTTCATGCCTCCATCTTCGTTGTCAGCCTAACACTTGCTCTCTCGTACTGGTCGTGACGACCGTCTCACTGGCAAGAGCAAGGGCCCGTAGAGTTGCGAGACGGGAAGGTAAAACATCGATGGGCGAGCAGATGGATGAGCACGCCGTCCGGTGTTCGCATGCTTCGCATTCTTCGCATTGTCAGCCTTGCCACCTACCCGAGGTACCACCTAACCCTACAGCACCTCAAGGTACCTGGGCTGTCCATTCATCACGCCAACTCCAGATTCCAACCAGGCATCGTCTATCGCCCCGCCATTCCAGGTGCTCACTGGCCTACCTAGGCAGCTGGAGCAGGCGATGCGATAACCTTTGCGGCACAACAGAAGATCACTCTCATTTATGACTCCTGGCATCCTGATATGGGGGTGGTCGGGACCAAGACATCCCGTCGTGTCGAGACACCAAACACAACCAGACGTCAGCGCTTCATCCCTAATACCCTCCAAGGATTCCCAAGAGCTCCCAAGTGCTCCAAGGGCTCCAAGGCTCCAAGGGCTTCAAGGGCCTCACACCGTCTCGTCAATCTTGGTTCTTTCCGACCAACTTCATCGACACTTCAGCTCAACTCTTGGGATCCATCACTGGGCATTCGGTCCACAGCCCACATCAACAAGGGATGCTCCACCAAGATGACGACGCTTCTCACGGACGACGGCGACTTGTCGAGACAGTTCAGACCTAGGATTCTCCCTTCATCGCTACACTGGACCATACCTCGAGCCCCTTTCAAGGAGTCCATGATTCGACCGAGACGCATTTTCACGCACTGTTCATGATTGTGGTGTGGTGGCGATCGAATTGCTTCCGACTGGCGAAGGACTGGAGCTGGCGAAGGACTGGAGCTGGCGAAGGACTGGAGCTGGCGAAGGACTGGAGCGAGCCACTGAGCGAGCAAGCACCGGAGCGCACCCCAGCCGTCCGGAGGCTCGTTCGAGGCGATCTATTGGATGGTAATACTGTAGACCGACGCCCGGCTGGAACCGCCGCCATTGACTCCCCTGATCATCGTCATTCCGCCTGGCCCCTCCCTCCTCACATGTCTCTCCTCGCCTGGTCACTCACTCGACCTTGGCCGCCTCGGTCGCTTCATCGCGAGATGCTGGCCCAGTTTTCCTGTTGCACTGCCCCTTCTGGGCCCGCACGTACCCGCCCTGGCGTCGCAGACATCCATCAGATCAGAGATCAGATTCAGGTGCACACCACTCTCCCGTGCATGCTTCGTCGCCCTTGAGCTCGCACCAAGTCAGACGTCTGTATGTAGTCTGGTGATCTTACGCGCCTTTTGCATGATCGACACGTTTGACATGGCGAGCGACACGCCGGGCCGGCTCTCTACGTCATTTTCCCTGTCCATCGCATTCAAGCGTCAAAATGTATTCAAATGCGACGTCTGTTTGTTTGTTGCAATGTCCAGCCTGGTGCCTTTAATTTGACCATGCTAATCTGGTCGCTTGTTTCATCAAATCGTTTGGCGGCCTGTTTGTGCAGCGTTTTTTGCTTGAGCGGATCTCATGTTGAACATCTTCATCTCCCTCCCAACTTGAACCATGCGCGTCCCACAACCTCACAAACCCCATCCCAAAACTCGGATGTCTCCCGCCAGGCCGACATCAACGGTCCTCGGTGCCGTTGTCCGTATTCGCGCACCTCACGGGACTCAGAGTATCGTCTTTGATGGGAACGGACCGAATGAATTTCTGGTGGGTACTCAGAGTCGTAATACGACTGCCGTCTGGCGTCGTCCCCGTAGGTGTCATCTCGTCGTGTCGAGTTCATTTCGCTTGACGTTGTGAATGAGGCCAACAATCTTGCTGCGACTGCGCTTGCACATACCTTTGTGCTTCGTCATGTGTCTCGAGAGGAATAGTCCTTTATATATTTTTTGATTTATTTATTTGGCGGAAGGGCGCCCATCTGCCTTGCCGCCGATTGGGCTGCTTCGCGTCACCGGGCGCGGGCTGTACATCATCACCAGACGACTGCGCCTGGCCTTCAATCAGGCACCACCCTCCGAGGCCAACCCGGACTAGCAACCCTTCTGATCCTCGGTCGGCCGGCCTGAGCGCGGATCCTGTAGTCAGTCCGGCCCTCCCTCTCGAACGTGCCTTGTCCTTGGCAACCCGGCATACCGATGGTATATCGAGACGAAGTGGTGGGGGCGCATTATGATGGTTCCCTGCTGTCATGCGGCACGGACGCTTGATTTGACCTAAAGTCCTGCTTTTTCAATCGGCATGGTGTGTTCGAGTCGGCCTTCGGTGGCTGGCATGCGGTGCTTGCAGTGCATGCAGCTCCTTGATCTGCAGTCAGCTTGCATCCGCGCTCTGATGGTGATCGGCCAAAGGGATTCGGCTGTAGTGGTTCGGGAAACAAGTGCCTATCCTCATGGGTCTTGTTCCCACCCAACCTCGATTCTCAGCACGGACAGGTCTTCGCGGCGCCCTCCTGTATCTGCACACGAAGCGACGGTATTTCTACTCAAGTTCAGGCTACTTAAGGTAGTGATAACCTAAAACTAACATATCGTTTAATTCTCTTACCGCATTAATCTCGTCAGCCCAGGCCCGCCTACGATAAGTTTAGTTGCGCCGGAGATCTCATAATGAAAGGGCCAGTATCGGATGAGGTAAGCGCCATAGACCAGGGCTTGGTGGTGGATAAAGAAGCTACATATGCTCACCATACAATTTTTGGAGAACATGACAGGATACATCGGTACAGGCATTCGAGCGTTGTAAGGGGGTTGAGTTCCACCGCCAACTGCGGCAATCCTTCCCTTTAAGCCGTAGGCCTATGTGGCTTTGGTAGAACTAGCTACGAGGGCCTTCTCGTCAGATGGATGGCGATGACTGGGTAGAGTCCAAGCCGCGAGATACACCTGTGTGGTAAGCACGAGCTTCGATGCTGCGTAGCTTATTGGATTTCTGTAGAGTTCGAGATAAGGGTAAAGAGAGACCTGAGCTGTGGCATTCTAACAGTCAAGCTTTCCCGAGCCCAATAGACTTTTGTAACAAGGGCCTTCGTTCAGTATATCTTCCATCGGTCCCCAATCACAAGAACTCTGGTTCGGGAACAGGGTTAACTGGTAGGTCGACTAAGACTCTTCAACAAGATATAGCGTTGGAAGAGTGGGAATATGATCAGCTGTCTGTGTGAATTATACTAGAATTCGGTCCTTATTTGCCTTGGTCGAACCTCGCCTGGGTATTCAGACCACGCGGGAGGCCTAGACGACGCATATACTATCTATTTATCTACAACTTACCGATCACTACGAAATTGCAAAGCTAGCTATAACGTCATTTTATTCGGTGAGCTCTGTTCATGGAGGACCACAATCAGGGATGGGCAAATCTCTCTTCCACGGCCGTGATTGTCGACGGCCTCATACTGTTTATCGCGTTTATCATCTGGAAACCCAGTTCCGTCCACTTGCTGTTCCTCCAACCGAGTGTGATGCTGAAACTCTCTGTAATCTCTTCGTATGCCCCGTCTCTGGTCACTGGGGTTGTTTTGCGATCCTCATGGCCTTGCTCTACAGCTTCCTTGGGTTCGCAGAACACTCGATTCCCGCCCAGGTCGCCCGTTTTAAGCCCGTGATGGAGTCATTCGGGGTCTCAACTACTCACCCCTTAGACGGCACCCAGACAGCCAAGGAGCCCTTGTTATTTCTGAAACTGCCTGAGTCTCAACCGTCTTATCATACGCTGGACGAAGTGCTCATATTGTTCGTCCGAATCGATATCATGCTCGTCGGCGGAACCTGCGTCTCCAACCGGGTTGCACTCATCACTGCTCAGATCGCTGCTGACACCGGTCGTGGCGCGTTCTCTACCTCATGGCCAATCTTTGTCCACGAAATCGTGCAGCAGCAAGGTCTGTGGCGACGGGGTAAATCCCTCGTCATGATTAGTATTGTATCAGCTACCAAGATGAGTTGTGCCACAGGCTCTACAGTTTTCAACGCGCTTGATACACGCATCGACTGATGATGCTCATTAATATTGAGAATGTGGGTTTTTACAAGCATCCGTCCTGCAAGCTCACGGAGTATCACATCGCCGAGGTTCAGGGCGGTATTCTCGCCATCTTTGGCTCGTCAGTGGCTGCCATGGAGCACCCCCAGAGCCAGCCAATCCAGGAGGGCATCAACACAGCAAATAGTGAGTAGTGCGACCAACAGGGCTTGCATCATGTCAGGTATGGCGGTCATGCAGTTCATAATATGATTGATTGAAAACATGGGCTTGGAGGCCGACGATGGTGATAGATTTGATCAGCTTCAGTAACAGCTTAAGCTCAAGGATCCTCAGAGTACTCTGTTGCCTGTTTGGGGTTCAAACACCGCTGCTTCACCTAGCACAACACCAACGATAGAAATAGGGTCTCAGAAGTCAGGGATCAAAGCATATGCACGGCTAATTGACATTTATATCATGGACCACAACGAGAAATTCAGTTGATTTGAGCAAGCTCTTTGCGTAGACCATTTGTTAAAGGCATTGTCATTGTCAGTGGCACAGATAGAAGGCCGTCCATGCCATGCGTTCCATTTAGACTGAAAATGTATTTAGTCACCAACCCCAAATAGAATAAGCTTCCGGGTTCGATATCAGTCCTCGATGTACGCACTTGCAAGCTGACGTTTCCAGGGGTATGTCCGCCACATCATAGCATCTTACGCTCTATAATCGTGAAAACAAAATTGACCTTCTATTCATTACTAGAACTCAATCCATGGCTGCGCAGTTCATCTTTTTTTTCATGACCGGACCGCATTCCTTTGTTGACACTACGCCCATTAGCCACGAAAAGTGGCACAACAGTAGCACGAAACTGTCACGAGTCGACAACGCTCTTGGTAAATGTCGACCGCAAGCCAGCTCTAGCCCATCAAAACATGACAAGCTGTACCTTAACGACCTCAGCATCACATTGCTAGGTTCCCAGATATGAGATTTCGTCAATCTATCAAGGCTCGTCATAGAGACTGAGGCATGATCGCACTGCATTCAATCAAGAAATGTTCCACATGAAAAAATCAATTGAGGGCAACGGTGATCAAATGTGCCAATTCTGTCTTTCCTGTGTGCTCATGAATAGGAAGGGAGGCAGCCAGTATTGTTGTTTAATGCTCCACGGAGCGTCGGCGCGATGGAGTTATCTCCATACTGGTCTCTGAATACACATTGCGAATCAATAGCCAGACAGCAAGCTCTTTTCCAGATTCTGTGCAAGCCGTAACCGCCTATTCTGAATTCTCGGTTACGAATCACAGCTCATCCGACAATAAGTTTGAGCGACAACACTCACGCCAGCCACTCTGCAATGCCGCTAGTCTTCGTGTGGTGCCTATGTGTGGAATTTAGGCGTATCGGCGTTTCTTGGAAGCTGCCATCAAAACAAGTCAGATTACTTGCGAGCCATGCAGCGGGGATTCAGACTACTTACGAGTTTCCGGCGTATTGACCATTAATTCCATGGACATACCAGCGCCTGAGATGCTGATGCACATCGGAGAAGGGGCTTCAACCACTTCAGGCTGGGGCTCAAGGTTCGCCACGGTCATGATCTGCGACATGGTGCTCGCGATACGCTTCGCACGCGACTTTCGAGAAGGGGTGCCAAGGTGGTATCCTGACTTGGCTGGTGTTGACGGTGAGGGGCGCGGAAGCCTTTCGACCTTGGCGACGTACGCAGCTTGGAAAGTGCGGAATAGTTCGCTCTCGACGTAACTGCAATTGTCGCTTCCTTTGAAGTGCTCTTGAAACGGGTCATCGTTGGCTTCCTAGGCCCAACTGACGATTGCGCAAGATTGACACTTCACAGTATCCGGATTGGTCGTTGTTGCAGATAGATAGAAGCCAGCCTTAGCCATGTCTTCAGCGGAAGGCACGGCGAAGGCCCAAACGCAGGCTCTGTGGCGTTCGGTTTCCTCGAAGAAAGTCTCGAGCCGATCATTCAAGTCGTCCATGATGAATCTCTCAGATTATCTCTGTAGGTGGAACGGGTCTTCTCGGAGGCCGTATCGCTGATTGAATGGTGGATGGTGAGAGCAGGATGATTTGGAACAACAAAGTTGCAGTGTTCCTGAATCCTGACTAGGACGAGGTTGTGATAGTCGGGTCGCTTCGAATTCTGCCCGTAGTCTGAAGATAATCAGACAATTGCTGCAGTTCCTAACAGTCTTGCTAGAGATGTGGGATGCTGTACTTGCAACCAAGTGCTGTGGATAGTGCAGCAAACAGGTGGTAATCCCTAAGGTGATGCTATTCCTAAGATCTGGCAGTAGCAAGGGCGGCAGGAACCCCATCCTGCCTTGCGAAGCGTTGGAAAACGGAAAAACGGAGGCTGCCTAAATCGAAAGTCGGGACAAATCGATTCTAAGAGTGGATGTGGACAGAGTAGCAGACTGATACTTTGTTGCTTTCACAAAGAGACGTTCTCGTCGTTCTGCTTCATCCACTCAACGCTTATCCCCAGATCACATGCCATTGTGGCTACGAAAATAGTAGCAGAGCCAAAAGCTTCACTCGTGCCTGAAGCAGACGGGTAGTCAGAATCATAGCTGGGATCGAGAGTCTGTCAAGGGGTGGTGGCCTGCCAGCCTGCCGAAAAGTCCGATGAAACCTGCGCGTCAGGTTAATAACGAGACACGGAGGTAGCAAGGTCCTCAAAACCGTCGCCGAGCCTCCGAATCTCTGATCTGACCAAGATGGTCGAGTGGCGGGCTGGTTGATGCTCCATGGTGCGTTTCAAGGTAGGTTGTACTGGTTGGGGGGCTCTCCACGTCGTTCGATCTTCTTCATTCAGCTCGTCCCTATAGCACGGAAGATATCGGTTGAAAATGGTTTCCTCACCGTCGCCAACGAAACTGCCGTAAGAGTGATCGACATATTTTTCGGTATTGGACGAGAATATCACCATAGCGTGCATCGAGCATCAAGCTGGATCAGCACTCTCATGACAACAATCTTGGCAGCGTTTTCAGAGGCTCTTCGAAGGCATCACATGCGTTGCCTCGGGCCCTGACAGAAGATCCCCTGAAGATCACTCATGCTGAGCGCCCGAAACGCAGAGCAACGTCAAGATGCGCGAGTTCGAAATGAAAGTCGACGTCGCATGGAGATTAGATGTACTTCCTGAGTCAATCCTTTCAACGCCCCTGCAAAGGCTAATGCTCCATCAGAAAAACAACCCCCAAAACAAGGCATCCCCAAAGTAGCATGTGAAAAAAGGGCGAAGAAAACGCCCTCCACCCGGCCTGCCTTCCTCATTCAGTTGGGTGACCCGCCGTCGGACGGAGCCAGCCTTACCCCCTTTATGCCACAAGCTCACGAGCACGCTTCCCCAGGATATTGAACCTGTCGACAAAGGGAAATGGGAAATATGGCCCGCCAATAATCCACTTGTACCTTGAACACGTACCTGCGTGCAGAAAGGATGCACACAGCACCCAATGCGCGCTGATGCAATGTCAGCCCGTGGAGCCTCCTTTCGCTTTGGCGATCCGGTGTGGTCGTTGACAACGAAGGTGGTGTCCGGCCGGTGTGGCTCCGCCCCTCCCACTCGTTACGCTTTTTGGGCTGCTCACCTCCACCAAAACAAGCTTATGGGACGCCCAACCAGATTCGCGGTCGGAGATGGAGGCTGCGGAGAGGGGGCCGGCGCAGCTGGCGGAGCTGCGCGGTTCTGGGTTCTGGACTGGTTTCAATGGAGTCACGGTGCACTGCGCGGGTTCTTATGGCTACAGGTACCATGTAGTAACTGGGCGACAGGGTCATGGCGAACGGGGAATGCAAAGAAATAGGAGGCAATTGGGACCATGCCCTTTTGGTGGAGTTGCATTGATGTACCAGCGGATATCGGATCAGATTGTGCAGATTTCTGGGGAGCAATGAAATGAAGAGTGGATATTGGCCTTGAAAAGCGCTTCCGGCGCAGTAGGATTCAGGTACATCCTCATGTTGACCAACAACAAAGGGATTGGTACGCCCACTGTATTGATCGCAGCAGACTCTTTTGGTCGATCGATTTCGGGGCGCTACAGGCCAGTCTTCAGAAGCCAAATTCTTTACTGACACTTGACAGCCGACACAAGGGCCCCATGGCTTGATCATGGCCTCGGCTTCGCTCAGACGACCAGCTCCCAACGCCAGGCAATGAGTGCGTCAGATGTCTCATTCCATCGCGTGTCTGCGGTTCAGCCTGTGAATGAGGTGCTTGGTGCGGGGGAGATTGAGCCAGGGCGCCCACCCCCAGACTTTGACATGCCCAGCGAATCGAGAGGAACAGGACCTAGGAAAGGAGGGGGAGGGTGGGTGTCGCCTTTGGCGCGCCCCAAGTTGCTCGACCCAGCAAGGGGACGCCCTTGGTCGTGGGCCCTTCCCCCCTTCTTTTCTGCCCGATCTGATGTCCTGCTTCTGGAGGCGGCCAGGGGTGCCGCCCATGCTGGGCGAGTGACCAACGGAAATGGCTGCTGAGCCACCCCTGTCATCCGAGTGGTAAGTTGTGTGGTTGTGGCGATCGTCAGGTTGCGTCCAGTACGAGGACACCATCTCGGCTGTGCGTCGCGGTTGGTCCAGCGTTCCTGCGTCCCTCGGAATAGTTTTTGTCATGTGCTTCTGATGTAAAGACACAAGGTAAGGCAAGATAACGGACAGTGCAACAGGCCAGGGAAAGGGGGCATAGCCATGAATTTCCCCGAATGCAGTGATCGAGGGGTAACAAGAAAGAGCCAATTGAGTCAGGCAAAGGTGCGAGTATTGAACCGTATCTCCAAGGATGAAATGGATTGACTTGTTGATTGATTGGCATTATGGAGCTGTTCCCCAGGTCCCTTGGGGAGAGCAGAGCAAAGACCAGTACTGTACCCGCAGTCACTTGCCAGGCCTCTCCTTACCTCGCCTTGCCAAGAACCAGCTCGGCCGCCCAGCCCCGGATTTTCGAACCCGCTGAGGAGCATCGAAGGGGGCCCCAGCAGGAAAGCCCACAAAGAACGGCACCAGCACGGAGATGGGGTGGGACGGAAGAAACAGAGAGACATCACAGCGCGCCGGCGTCAGTCAACTACTCTTCTTCTCGAATGGCAATTGGCTTCTCTATCGCAGCAATCACCGCGAACGGCAGGACAATGTATGGAGCGCTGCCAGAAAGCACAAAGGGCCTGAATACAGCGTCTAGAATCATGAGTAGCGTCTCAGACGAAATTACCTCCGTCGAGCCACCGACGTGGCTCATCCAACAGACCATCTTCACATGCCGTGACATCTCCCACACCAGACGGCCTTGTGGCCCCTGGCCCCGACTTGCCTCTGCCTTGCTTTGCCGAACGGCCTACTGCAACGGGCAATCCCACGACGTAGCCAGACAACCTTAGAGGCCGCAGACTAACAAGGACAAAGCGAATCCTGACGAGTCCACACCCCCCTCAGAGCTCCGCACGGGCAGAAGAGGCTTGCTGCACAAACCTGCCATCCCGGTGACTGGTCGTCCGCTTCTGGCAGTCAGGCCCGCGCCGATACATCGCCAGATTGTCGCCCTGGTGTACGCCCAGTCACTCTGGCCCGCCGTCCTTCCCCGGACACATCTGGGCCCTGACTTCACCCGGGGTACTTCGCCATCGTGTCTCCTCATCCTTGCTCTTCAGGCAGTCGAGACCTGGCCAGGGGGTTGCCGTCGCCGCTGGAAGGATGGGTACCACGCCCAGTCCAGGTCCAGGTCCAAGTTCCAGCACCAGCAACTGTCCCATCTCCATGCAACCCACCCGAAGGGAGGTAGCAAGCTTGTGCCTTGCCAGCCTCTCCAGCAGGTTCCTGGGGTGTCTGTTCGATGTCCCGATGCTTCGCGCTCCCGTCGACTCGCCCGCCTCCGGAGCAATATCGCACCAAGCCCGCACCTCCTCCGTCGTCCATAAGAAGCCTCGTCCTCCAGCTTCTCTTCCGCCCTTCTCTTCTTCTCTCTTCATCCACATTCGCTTGGCATCATACAGTACACTCGCTCTTGTACCAATAATCCCCATACCTCGCTAATACCGGTTCATCCTTCCTCCAACCACAACAACCCCCCCAAAACCATCAAAATGAAGTCTGTCTACGCTATCACTGCCTTCGCCGCCGTTGTGGCCGCCCAGAGCTCCTCCGGCCTCCCTGAGTGCGCCATTCCCTGCATCCGCGACGCCACCACCTCGGCCACCGACTGCACCTTCGGCGACTACGCTTGCTCTTGCGAGCCTGCCAACAACGCCGCCATCCGTGCTGCTGCCACCAGCTGCGTCATTGACGCCTGCGGTGTTGACGTTGCCCTCAGTATGTGCTCCCATATCGCGACGAGGTTGCTCTCGAGTCATCCATGCTAACACGCGCTCTCAGACGAGGTCATCCCCGCCACTGAGGCTCTCTGCGAGAACCCCCCCACCTCCCCCGAGGAGCCCACCACCACCGCTGCTGAGACCACCGCCGCTCCCTCCGCCGTCGAGTCCGCCGTTGAGTCTGCTGTCGAGTCTGCTGTCGAGTCGGCTGTCGAGTCGGCTGCTCCCTCCGGCTACCCCGTCCCTGAGGTCTCCTCTGCCGCTCCCCACCCCTCGACCACTGCGGCTCCCGCTCCCAGCCACACCGGCAACACCACCGAGCCCGCGCCCACCCACGTCGAGGTTGACGGTGCCGCTTCCCTCGGCTTCATGGGCGTCGCCGCCATGGTCGGTCTCGCCGCCATTGCCCTGTAAGCGTCTTCTCTTCTCCACCGAGAAAGAGTCACGCTCGCAGCGGCAGCATTGCTGGCAACGGCAACGCGTTCTCCTGTTCGGAGACGAATGGGAGCACAAAGGATTGTATACAACTCATTTGTGGTAATGGCATGAGGATTCGTCGTCTTCGGTCTTCGGGCTGAGGACGGCGGTCCTTCCAGTGTTGGAGACACAAAATAATATTTCACTCGGGCCTGTAGTTGTTTCGCAAATACACCGACTGATACAATAATGTTAATGCGTCTGTCCATGAGACAACAGCAATCGTGATGATTCCCTCGTCTTGTGATGGGCTGTCAAAACTGCCTCTTCCTGTTCACCGTGAACAATCTTCCATGGACGAGTTCAGCCGTCGTATTCGACGTGCGGCGCAGCTCGTAAGCGCCGAGTGGCCAAGGTGGTCCTGCATACTGATAGGTGGGATGGCCGACAACCTTCATCAGGTGCTAGGCCAGGGGTTGGGCGCCCTCCATTTTGATTCGACAGACTGTGCCACGTCCGGGGTAAAGGACCAAAAGGATGATGCGACCTTGCATCGTTGCTGTAGGCACCACAGACAACAGAGCCGACCCTAACCATTACACTCAGGTATGTATCTGGAAACCGTACCTTGGGGCGAGGTCATGAGTCCGGGTGCGTTGTTGTCGTTTGCCGTGCCATCCATGTCCTCGGGGGCCAGGACGTCACTCCGATCTTCCGCCCCCGGACAGAAAGGATGCCCCGGGCGGGGTATTGAGCTCGGCCGAATTGCGCTGTAATAAGGGCCGATCTTCATATCTGGGGTCCCCAGGTTGCCTTCTCTGTCGCGTGGACCGAGGCAGCGAGGTTTGATAGCCATGTGATGCCATCGCCTGTTTTTGCGGACGTGTTTCCCCGGACCTTGCAGACCCGCGAATGGTTGACCTAGGAGGCAACCTACTTCAGAGATTTGTTGGTCAATCTCGTCTGTGATCCTTTCGTAGCATGGGCTGGCTTGTCAGGCTTCACCGACGTCGATAGTATTCTGATGTGCTTGACATCGGATGGCCGTGCCGGAAGTAATTGCGATCATCGACGTGCCGCGGGGGTTTCATCGACCACGGCAACATCTCCTTACGCATTCCGCTCCTGTTCGTCTTGGCATAGCTCCTCGCTTGCAACCTTATCCAGCTTCCCGCTCTTCAATGCATCCCATTTCTTTTCATTCTCCCTTCGGTCCTCTTCTCCTTTCCACACCCTGCCATGGAGATGCCTTACACAAACCTGTTTTCCATCGCCTGGTGCAAAAAGCCAACAGGCCCATCGCGCCCACTGCCCCTCCTTCATACCGTTCCTTGCGCGTTGGCCGATAGAATCCTCGATGAACATGCCTCTCCCGATGGCTAGTTGGCTCGGGAATACTCTCTCGAGGTAGTGCCTCCTCTCCACGACATGCGGCTTGTCGTGCCAGAAGTACAAGGGCGTCAGTGGGACGACTTCTCCAGTCGTTGGCGCCGGGTACCTTCCCGTCAGAGCGGCTGACAGGTCTCGTAGGACGGGGAACCGGGCGACGTGCATCGAAGCCTCGTACTCGACCGTCCGTGGCGACGGCAAACAGACATAGCGGATTGGAGCCGTCGTGCTTGATGTGGAAGCCCGCATGGCGTCGAGGAGATTCGCAATGGGAATGTGCGAATCGAGCGCCCAGTCGTGCTGGTGAATCCAGACATACGGTGTATCGGCTTCGCGGAGGGCTGAACGCACAGCCAGGCCGAAACCGAGCCTCTTCTCGGGCTCCATGAAGGTGATGCGTCGGTCCCTGGTGCAGTGGATATTCACGTCGACCGAGTGGCCGCTGGAGCGCCCGCCGGGCGATCCATATTCTGCTTCGGCACGACGGACCTCCCAATCGAGGGAGGGCAAGCTGGGCAGCGTCTGGCTCAGAAACTCGCGCGTGACTAGAGCCTTGACATTTTCCTTGTAGGCGTCGTACACCCGAGCGCCTTCGGGGGTGACTTGACCCTTCTTCAGGCGGGCTTGTTCGACGACATGGTCGTATGTATCGAATACGACAATGACGGGGCAATTGAGCAAAGCCGTGCAATGAGTGTGGAAGGAGGCGATCACGGCCGATAGGAGATCTGTTGTGGGAGCCGACGGAGTAGGCGACGTCGTAATGATGAGGGTCAGTAACCTGTCGAGTAAAAAGGCTGACTGCTCTGGCTCCAGCAAAGACGGGGGCATGACGCCTCTAAAAGTCGGAGGCTTTGGGATTGTGAGGAGCGATGGCGGATGAAGTTCAATCAATTGCGTGATTGAAATTTCCTGTGGGTTCACTGTTGACCGAGCCTCACCGAGACTTCACCACAAAACAAAGCATCTTGAAAACTTATTGACGGATGCAGGGATTGTATCAGGAAAAATCCAATCAACCTCTATGTGAGAGGATAAGAAAAAATCTATCTATATTGATCTATCTATATTGATCTATCTATATTGATCTATCTATATTGACAGGTAAGATTTCCTGCTGTGATCCTCTCTCCCGCGCAAGGGTACAGTAACACCTGCAAAGAGCCCCAAGACAAGCTTAGATCTTGATGATGACCTTGCCAGTATGCTGTCCTGAGTACAGATAATCAAAAGCAGCAGCAGAATCGTCAAACGCAAAGACTTTATCGATGAGGGGCGTGAGTGACATGTTCTTTTCTTCAATGAAACGGTTCATGCGCTGATAATCAAGCTTCGAGCCCACAACGATGCCCCTGTGATGTGTTAGACCCGGCAACGGACGAGTGATGGACCTTCGTTATGCTGAAGGGGCGACTTACTGCACCTTGGCTTGTTTTCCCAGCAAGACCATCAGGGCACTTGGCTCCCATCCTTGGCCTAACCCAGCCAAGAACCCCACGAGAGAGATAGTGCCATGTCTCGCTCGTAGGAAACTGATGTCCTCGGGAATGGACGACGGACCTGTGTTGTTGATCACGAAATCGACACCTTTCCCGTTGGTGATGCGGAGTATATCCTCTTTCTGGCTCAAGGTCGTCTTGTAGTTGATACCGTGGACATCGGAACCCAGTTTCTTGATGGCCTCAAGCTTTTCATCAGACGAAGACGTGACAATAGCCTTCCAGCCGTTGGCTATGCACAACAAGATGGCGAACAGGCTAACACCTCCGGTTCCTAGTCGCCTTTGTCAGCATTGATCACACGAGAATGAATGTGCTGCATGTAAAAGGTTTGCCAGATTTAGACCTACCTTGCATCAGAGCGACGGGATCCTTCCGGCGCGTTTCGAGGCCATCAAGAGACGTCCATGCCGTTACGCCGGCGCATGTAAGGGTGGCAGCCTGTATAGCACCAGTAAGTCCCACCAAGTTTTACATGTTTCTCGCGTCGGTACTGCGCTCCACCGGGCCTTCGACTCACCTCTTCCCAGGATAAATGCTTCGGAAGATGAACAAGCAGTTTATCCTCGTAGACCGCATATTCCCGTAAGACTCCGGCCGTAGAGCCTCCGAGCGCGCAGTTGTCGTCTTCCAGGCCTGTGAAGTCTTCGATGTCAAAGATGGGCGCCACCATATCTCCAATGGCGAAGTCGCCAACAGAGGACCCAATAGCAACAACCTCGGCGGCGCAGTCGGAGCATGGGATGCCCTCATCCTCGACCTCGGCGGGGTATCTGCCATTTAGCATGGCCACATCGCGAAAGTTGAGCGATACGGCGTGAATTTTTATGAGGACATCGTGCGTTCCAAGATCGCCCGGGGCGGGAACGGGCTCAGTGACCTGCGTGACGGTCCGTGGGAGGTCACCGTGTGTCCGCCTGAATACTTTGGCTTCGGTAGGGATCGTCATGGCTGTCTCGAAATGATAATAACTCAGATTTCTACTACATTTTGCGACGACATTCTGCATCAACTCGCGGGGCTTTTAATCCATTTCACCAACTTCAAGACCTGGTGGGGTCTGCCGTGGACTTTGGTGCGGACTTTCACAGCAGTGAACAATTCCGATCTGCGGTGTCAGCGTCTAAGTTTCGATCTCTGCTGGTGAACTGAGTAAGCTTAAGACACGGAGGCTGACCAAGCGACGTCATGATCGGCAATTATTAGTGATCTAGATTTGTTCTGGATTTTCACCGTGATGGCTTCCTCATTGGCTAACGCGGTGGCTCGGACGCGTATCGGACCCAAAACGCTAAGTACGTGGGGTACGTTTGATGCATCAAAATAACGATGTAGCAGCGAGGCCCCGCGATTTGATGTGATGTTCATGCTTGCTCATGTTTCTTGCGAAAAGTGATGGGCGTTGCGAGGTCTTCACTACAGTCCTCGCTCAGCGTTCTGATGAGCTGCTCGTGGCTATGGCCAGGTCTTCCATGCAGAGCAGCTGCTGTTCTCGGCCACATGCCCCGGATATTGACTCGGACATTGTGATTCAGTCGCGCAATGCATTTGCAGCGCGATGCCTTGACGCACCACTAGCCAGATACCGGGACTTGCTGTTGCCCTGCAGAAGCACTCGAGTGACGGCCCTGCATCTTGCGGCCACATTGATGGAATGTTATGTCAGTGTCAAGGAAATATCCCTGCGTGTTTTGGATCAGTCTCATCGTCGTGCTTTGCTTCCACCTCGATGAATTCGACCTCCACTGATTTGTAAGACTCAAAACGGCGGAGGGGAACGCCTTGGTTGAACACAAGGTCAATCTGCTCCAAAGACTTGGACTTGCACTCGGGGACAAACAGCTACGTGAAGCATACAAACAACTGCAACCGCGCCGAAGATGAATCCCAAGCGACTGCCGAAAATTGCAGGGTCAAAGAGGAGGTGAGGAATGGAGAAGTTGACGGCAAACCTGATGAGGCCAGGTGGTGCCAGCACAGAGCATCCTCGGCGGATTTTTACAGGGCACAGCTCACGCAATGACCACGTTGACAATGGCAGCAGTGCCGCTGGGATGCGTCCTGGAGATGAAGCGACGTCACTTCAGTCGTCACAACATATGCTAGAGGTGCCCATCCCAGGCCAAAACCACCGCCGAAGAGCGGCAGCATCGCGACTGTGGCCTTCTGGACAGCGACTGACGGATTGCTTATGGTGCCTAAGCCACCCATGGCTATGACAGCAGCTGCCTGCCAGGCTGCGCCGGCCATGAGCAATGGCCTGTCAAACGATTTCCATGTTAGCACCGTGTTCGACCAAGCGATCAGGGAGCCGGTCACAACTTACCGTCTGCCAACCCGGTCGTCGAGGAACAGTAAGATGCCACACATCAGCATGTTAACTGATGAATCTTATGGTGGTCATGTTACTACTTAAAAGGGCTGATGCTTACAACGCTCCGCAGACCGCCGAAACAATAGCTCAGGATCCGCTGGTGCGATGCCGAGCCTCGAGCCTCGCGGTCTGAGGTTGTGTACGCGTCAGGAAACGTATGACCGTACCCACGTACGTCGTCAATGGTCTCGTTGGGTGACTTTTCACGGCGGATCAAGTGAACGGTGGAACCCACGACGTTGACGAGCATGCGAAACGGCTTTTCATCACCACTCGTAAAGCGGAGGAGGTTGCCCAGGGTGCTGCCGCACGCGACGATGTCGATGGGCGTCGATGAGACGGCGGCAAAAGATGGCCGTGTACGAAGGATGGACTCGATGGCTGGCTCCATCGGGTGCAAAGGCAAGCGACTGGCGTTCCGATCTCGGTAGAAGACCCCTGAATCTTCCTTGAGTTGGGGAGTCTCGGAAGGGGGATTCCACCGAGGAGGCAAGCCGGGGATGATGATCGTAGGTTTCGGTTTGTCGAGCCAATTGTATGATGCGACAAGCTGACAATCGGATACTCGTGCTTTCTCGATAGGTATCGCATCGTCTTTGGCTAGTTTCGCGATTGAAACGCAGGCGATCTCGGGCCCAAGTGGCAGTGGAGGATAGCTTGGTGTCGGTGAGGCGAGCGGCATGGATGGACCCCGACGCCAGCCATATCGGCCGCGGTTTGCTCCCCGACCTCTGAAGTTTGAGCTGTAGCCTCTATGATTAGCCGACATTGTGATTGAGTAGACGGGGATGAGATGATGGGCGACTGGAAGAGGAAGAACTGGGAGCTATTTTCTCGTGTCCTTAGTGACCCTTCACATCCGCAATGACACCCAAGGTTGTCCTTTTATCTTTTTTCATCAAGCTGCCTGCGCCGACGGACGTCACTTATGACGTTAGTCTGTTGGCTGCATCATGCTGCCTGTGATGCGTCTTGCGGCCATTCAGGAGGCCGACATTCATGCGGGAGGTCTACCATGATCTGCTGCGATTGGTGTAAGTGGCCGATGCCTGGTCACCACCCTGCTGGCCAGTCGACGACCAACGGACCAACTTGTCACGCAATGCTCAGGATGTAAGGTCTGGTCGTTGGCCACACAAATATTCACCTGCTGGTCTATGTTTTCCATTTAGACATTTGCGGGCCTTTCGATCCCCAAGGCGTTTCCTTCACCAATTACTTCTTCTCGGAAAGCCCACAACAACGATAAGATCAATACATCCTTTAACAGTTTGAAAAAAGGACCTGCCCCACCAAAGAGAGCCATCTGTTCGTGTTGGACATATCAATTGCAGGCCTCTGGCGTTTTCCTTACCATAGTCCTTGTCTACCCGAGGTTGCCGCCCACCACGGTGTTGACCAAGCATTTCAATGTCCCAATCGGCCAACATGAAGCCCGAGAACATTGACCCGGCTCGTACGAGACGTCTTGCAAAAGCCTTCAAAGACATCGTCGCGGGGCGCCGTACCGTCTCAACTGCTACCGACGCTCGCCTCTACCTGAAAGCTGTGAGGGCTCAGCCGAACCCATCGACTTGCATCGAGACCATGGTGGCTAGCGAGCACGGCATTCGTGGTATCAGCACGAGTGTCCAAACCGATCCCTCACCCGTGTTTCTGACTGCCCATGTCATCCCCTTCTTGGAATACCTGGCAGATCCGGGCATCAGAGCCATCCACGAGGGCGGTCTCCTACGCCAAATACTTTTGGCGATTGTAAACCTCCCCGATTGCCTGGAACTCTCTCCTGACGCTATGGCTTGATGACACGCTTTAGGACGGAAATTCCGAGGTTTTTGCCTGGCTGTCCGGTAACCCCGCTAGGGGTCCTAGAATGGCGATCTGTTTCATGTTCATCCTTGCATACCACAGGAGTGGCGTCTTCAATAACGTGACCATTTGCGACGTCCGTTCTCGCCTTTCCGAATGGGAGGCTGCGTCTGCAGAGCCTTTGAGTCTCCTTGCCGTGCTGCTGCGTCGGGTGCTCGTCCTCGCCCGTGAGAGACACGACGGGAGACTCGAGATCACGCGCGACGAAGGAGAAACGGCCATACACGTGAGGGAACAGACACCGGGGCTGCCAGGCGTGCTGTCCTCGGGTTGTGAGGCGCGATGGAAGGCCTGGTTGGCAGGCGACGGCGATGACAGGGGCGGAATTGGGAACAAAGACAACGCTGACGGGGCGGATGACGAGGGGGGAGTTGAGGTGGATTGAGCATGACAACGACTTCACTGCCTAGGTATACAGAGAGTTGTGGATACTGCGGTCATTGTACCTATTAAGGTTGTGAGAGGTTGCTCAGCGTGTCATACATGGCACACGGTCTCGATGCTGGCATGCCGAGCGTGTTGCAGCTGAATTCGTTCACTGATAGCATGGCCTATGTTCAATGGCAATCAAAGACATTCGCTCTTATCGAAGACATTCGTTCTTTTCGTGGTTGTGTACTCAGGCTGCTGCGTGCTGTGACTGATGTGATGATCAGTCCAGGTCGGTGCTGTCTTCGGTGGCACCTGGAATACGGCGTCGGAGGTGCTTTGGCAGGCAGCTATAGTACGGCTGAAGAGACGACTCAACTGGGTGAATCGCGATGCCTCCCAAAGGCGATTCGAGATACGCCGTCGGCGGCTTCTGCGAGTTTGGTCAATCAAGCCTAATCGGCTTATTTCCTCATCCAGCTTCAAAGACTGCTCAGCACCTGGCCGCTGTTCAGTCCGAAAGGGCGTATCGCCCTCGCCATGTTGAACATATCGGCCTATTCTTCTTCTCCGGACAAGACCATGTTTGCCTCCAGCCGCCACTCTTGCAAACTGTCCGCAAGCCTCTGGCTTCAAGTCTGCGACGGCCAGCTCTTCTTTAATAGTCCATGACTTAGTGAGTCGAAGGTGTACGCCTCGGCGGCAACGTATCTCGGTCAGAGGCTGTCGCGAGCAGTCCGCATCGACGCGCGTCCGCCATGCCCAGGCTCGAAACCTCCGCGGTATCGCAGCTCGCGAAGTCATGGGTGCGATGGGTGATAGCCCTCCAGGCTTTCAGCCTCAGACGTTCTCGGCCCCATCAGCTGGCTTGCGCACAGGATTGTTGACTAATATTGTCGAAAGCCAAGCATGGGGTCTTCGGGCGCAGGCGCTGGAAAGTCTCGTGTCATACAGGAGAGGCATGATGAACGCTGGGCTGTGGCATTTCGTACTCTTTGCAGGCTTATTAAGACTTGCTTGAGGGCTAGCACTGGAACAACACAGATAGAGTCGACGGATCATGGTTGGTTTGGGGGTGGAGGAATTGTTGGGCGCCAACACTCAAAATAAAGACAGGTGCAAAAATGGTGGGTCATTGTTGGAAAAACGATACAATAAAGTCTCCGCACATCAGTAGATACAGACTTGTGCGACGACTAAATGACAGCGGTGACCAAGAATTGATATGAATTGGTCTCACGTCGAATCAATCATGCGGCACCCGCATCACGATATACGTCACCCCGCTTCAGCTTGCAATCTTCGTCAAGCCGCAGACCGATTGCTACAGCCCATGGCTAGTGTAAAGAAAATCAGGTAAACAAAACCAGACTGCCGTCGAGATGTTCCCGTCGAGGCATTCCTTTGGCTGAAACGAGATCAGCCTCGAGGGATACAACGACGGTCCGGCAAACGCTAATTCGGGTCATCACCATGCAGACCAAGCACACCATGTCCGATAACGCCATAGCAGTTTGTGCTGCTTCAAATATCGCTGCGCTCAACGCTCGCGCGAGTCCATATCTCCCGTATTGCCTTCGTGTCACAGCACACCGTGTCCTTGTGAGGCCCGTCTACCCACGGACCCTGTCTCCGTAAACCTCTCATTGCTGCTTAATCCGGGTATCTCTGTCTGTAAAGTCTGGTCCCTCTGAAAGGGGGCTTCGTCGCGCAAGTCGCCGTAAAGACTAAGCATTTCGCATAAAATCGTACATCATGTCGCTCCTCGTCCAGTCTGGTAGGCCTTGATGCGCACCGGTCAAGGAGCAGCTCCAGTCTGAGAGCTGCTTCCGCTGCCGTAGTTGTGAGGGCTGGTCAATGAGGCGGTGCTTGCCACCAGGGGTGACGCCTGCCGACCAGTCGAATCGCTCTGCCTGGCATTGGTGCCTTGGGGCGAGATCATCGTTGCGGGGAGTGAAGCTGAAGCCGAGCTGAGACCTGCAGAATCGTATGCAGAAACGGCCGTTGGCTGCGATGGTCTCGGGTGGGCGACCGCATTCATGATGTGCTGAAACGTCGCCGGATTGGCTTGGTTGTGCGGAGGGAGTTGGTAGCTGGGCGGTGGGGTCGGCATGTTGGCGGATGGCACGGGATGACTGGGGGGAGCCGGAGGAACGCCAGCAGCAGCGTTGCCATTGACCAGGTTTTGCGCGTTCATCGTCGGAGGCTGGTTATCAGCCCCCACCTCGTTGCCGTCGGCATCCAAGACCTCTTCTTCTTCAGTACCTTCACGCTCTTGCTCGTCAATCTCGCCGTAGGGACCCTCGATACCAAGTAATGTGGAGCTGCCACCGACGTTGGGCCTCATCTGGGAACTGGTATGAGAGTCTGCCATGCGGGAGGCCGACGGCCCGTGGCTGCGTTGGAACCGAAGCGGCCACTCTCTCAACGATGCGTACTCGTCGTCCGTGTTGACGTAGTCGCGAAGACGAGACACGCCAGCGCCTGAGAAGACGCAGAAGACGCCACGTTGATGTTCAGTAAATTCTGAAACAAACAAAAATGTCAGAAAACTGATTGGCAAGTATGACGGTAGAAAACGTACCTGACGGTGGAGGACGGCAGAATTTACTGAATTCCTCTCTCAAGAAAGCGGTGACGCCCGTCAGACTAAGGTGGGTAAGTCGAGGGCAGTAGTTGAGTAGCTTAATAATGCTCTGCGAACTGTCAGTACAGGTACCATTCTTTTCGGTTGTCCCATATAAACTCACTTTGAGGGTAAGATTGGTGCAATAGCTGAGATGAACACGCTCCAGGCTGGACGCGTAGTACTCTTCGCCGATGACAGCACCATAGGCGTCGCGGCGAGCCCGGGGGCGGTGATTCGCACGGGCAAGCGCGAATACGGACTCATCTGTGATACTACTGCACTTGACGAGACCAATACGCTTGAGCTTGGGCAACTGGGCGAGGCGAACGACGGAATCGTCGGTCAGAAGAGTGCAGCATCCGAGATCGATATATCGTATCCTATTGCAGTGCGCCACGAGGGTTTTTACAGCCTCGTCTGTGATGTGGCCGCAGTGACCCAGGTGCAGATAATGCAAGTTCTTACCCAGCTTTGCGATGGCATGTACGGCGACATCGGTGATGTTGCGGCACTTGGCCAAGACCAGATTACGAAGACGAGGCGCGGCTTCGATGATCTTGCTCACGGCGGCATCAGTCAGGCGAGCGCACGAAGTCAGATCTAGGATACGCAAGTGATCATATGTCTTGCCGAGGGGCAGGTTCAGAAAGGCCTGGTCATCAATTAAATCACAGCCAGCCAGGCGCAGCTCGCGGAGGGACTGGCCCTTGGCGACCAACGCAGTGATGGGCTCATTCTGGATTTGGTTGCACTGGTGAAGGTCGATCTCGAGGATGTTAGGGCAGTTCTCGGCAAATGCTTGGATAGCGACATCCTGCAGCTGGGCGCACTCATTGAGTTTAAGCTGTGGAACACAGAGATTAGCGTCCGCCTCGGGCGGGGAAGCGATGAATGGGCAGAGGAGGGTGGGCTTACTCTCTTGATGTATCTGCAGCTCTCTGCCAGAGCGATCATGCTCTCGTTCGTGATGTGTCGGCAGCCGGAAATATTAAGGCCCTGGAGCCGCTTGCAGTACTGAGCGATGGTTCGAATAGACGCATCCGTGATGTTCTCGTCTCCCGAAACATCTAAAGCCAGGAGAGCCGTGGCGTTCTCAACGAGGGGCACAAGGCCTTGGTCGGTCAGGTTGCGGCAGTTCGTCAGCGTAAGGCGCTCGATGCGGCTGCAGACGGAGAGCGGAATGACGCTGCCATCGTTGATCTTATCAGCGAGACCGCTGGCAGCAAGGTTCAGCCGCTTGATAAAGTCGCGGTATGCGAAGAATGGGTTCTTCAGCTGCAGGGTCTGGCAGATGGACGAGTGGTTCCTCCAGTTGGTGCAGGCGGGGCGATGCCATAATAGATCGACAGCATTTTTGGCCCAACGCTTGCTGACCAGCATACAATGAAATAGGTCGGATGTGGTGTTCAGCTTGGCAAAGACGCTGATGATGATCTCGTTAGGCAGCAGGGCTATGCCAGTGAGACACTCGTCATCCACGTCGCTGACCTGCATGTCCTCGATATTTGGTACGCCGAGAGAGGATACAGAATCGTTTCCGCCGTGGAAAAAGTCGGATTCTTCGTTATCAGCCGGAGCAGGCGAGTTTGTCGAGGAGGAAGATCGAGAGTCTTCGGGGTGGAGGGGCGCGCCACCGCTGCCCGATGACTGGGCGGCTATCATATCGAGGGATGGAGCCGATGGCCGCATAATGGGCAAAATCGGGTGGCGGCAATCAAATGCCAGCCAGACTCGGCGAGCGATGCGGACGCCGAAGAAAAGAGGACGTCCTGGTGAGGATAACGCGCCAAGAAGATGTCGAGGTCGTGGGTGGTTCGGGGCTGTCGGTGTCCAGACGAGGCAAGGTGAGGGGGAATCGAGAAATCGGTATTTGTCGTCAGGGATAGCTGAACGTACGAAGAGCGGGCGCGAGGTTGGTTATCTCTCGTGGCCTTTGGGTTATCTGTGGTCAGAGGTGTCGGGACCAGAAGCTTCTGAGCTCTCTATTCGGAAAGAAGATGAGTCGTACGGGAGAGATCGTGGGTTGGGCTGTGTGGTGTTGCCAGGAAGAGGGACGGCAGGCGAAACCTGGCGGAGTCAGTGGGTAGACGCCCAGGCGACACACGTGGGGCTCTCCTCAGCCTCGCGTCCACTAATGGGCGGTACGTACACTATGTGCCCTTTGTTGATCTCCTGAGGTGCGGGCTGGAACGCAGTGAATCACAATCAGTGGTACCCTTAGTGCAGATGCATCTGGCCTGGCCAGGAGAAGAGAGCTATGGTCCTCGAATGGCAAATTAGATGACCACGAATTTTCTGATAATTGTTTTCATTTTCACCTCTTCCTCTCGCTAGAGATGTGGGTTATACGATCGGTACCAAATTCCGGGGTCAGCGAGTTAGTGCAATCTAGATTCCAACAAGAAGTACGTATTGACGAGTCGGAAAAGGCAAGGGACTGCGTAAGCGGCGAAAGGGCAGGGGCAATGGCAGTGGCACCGGCCAGGCCGAGACAGGAAGGGCGCCTGCTCCCTCACCGTCGGATCGAAGCAACTGCGCTCCACACTGGCCGCCCGCACCTGGCCAAAGCAGGTCGGTCCAGCCTACTTTAGCAGCGTGGGTACCTAGGAAAGGGAGGCGACTGCAAGGACAACCACCATAAGTCGTGCTTGAAGCGCAATGGGACTATGGCTATCTGGTTACCTACCATTGCATTCGTCAGCAGATCAGTCAGACTGCTGAGCATTTTGACGATGACGGAAGAAGGGCCCATGTCTCAAGGGGGGGTGTCATGTTTGAATCCGGCTGTCACCTGTCTACACATCACGAGTCTCCGCTTTGGGACGACTGTTCCAGGTCATGTCGTCCCGCCAGAGTGCAGACGAGGCGGGGGCTTACATTCAAGCTGTCAGGGTATGTCCGGCATCTCCATGGCGATTTAATTGCGACTCTTACTTCGAATATTGTACATGTATCCGCGGTAGGTAGGTTTTAGTAAGACGCCAATTCTGACCGCCCGTCCGATGACTGCACTTCCAGCAACCACTTCGAGTCACAAGTGGTCTTTTTTTTTTCTGATCTGCGCATATTTCAACAACTCGCCTTCAGTATCGGCCGGGGATTCCAAGGCATTTTTACATGCAGAATGCCAACCAGATCGACATTGCAATCAGCTTAGCCCAGTTACCTGGATGCAACGCCGTGGAGGCCGGGACGAACCGCCACCAGTCAAGCCACACGAGGGGTCATCTCTATTGGCCTCGACATCTGTGTCTCCCGACCGGCGACTCCATCGTGAGACGGCTACGAAGTGCAATCAGTGGCGCTAGGCCTTTTACGGATGCGCTAACCCGTCTGAGCCATGACAGGTATCTGGAGAGATGGACTGTGACCGAATGTCGTTTTGCTGGAGATCGCGATCCTTATAGCGGTGAATGCGTAGTCTATCGTCAGAACTTGAAGTGAAACTTACATTACATACACCTAGTCGCAAGTCATCACACTCCATGCTCCCGAGATCCAATTGAACCAAGGTCACCGATGTGTTCTTAAAATAGTGTGTTCGCAGCATCAACACGTAAACTCGAGGTAGCTCCTTATTTTGGCCATCACGTATAGTAGTGCCGTGGAATGAATAGGAAACACGGTTTCTTCATAATCCCCCATTTCCCATGTGTGACGAGGGTGACAATCCATGGCCTGGATCAGAGAATCCTCATCGTCTAAAACTTGACCGTCCGCCAGACATGGAAGACTTATGCTTCGAGTTTCCTTTAAGTAATTGACCAAGCTGGCATTAGTCCAATAGCATGTTGCAGGAACGTCAAACCTATTGTATTCGATTCAGTCGACTCATATTTATGTCCAAAACTCGTTGTCTAAAAACCCCTGCTTTGTTTGACGTACGTGACGGTTGTTTATGCTTATCGTTGTTTAATGTAATAATTTAAGAACAAGAACTCTGGCAAGAGGAAAAGAAAAAAAAAAGATTGGTATCTTCATTTGTGTCAGGCAGTGTATAATAAGAATGTCCACAAATATCTAACACCGAGAAAATGTCAGCAACCTCGTAGCTGCCTGGTCCTGCTCACCTGTAAAGGCGAGTTTTTATGAGAAGCTCAGGAAATTTGGCTTGAGCGCACTTGAGTAGACTTCATAGAACTTAACAGTCATTAAGAAACGGAACAGTTGGTGTAGTCATCCCGGGACGCGGGTCGATAGGTATACATTGAGTCAACTTCCACGACTTGTACACATCTGTCGGAACTGTACATGACCAAGTACCTGGCCTCAAGAGAAGCAGGAACCTTATAAAACCACAAGAAAAACACGAGAAAATATTGAAAATGATTGAAAAGAAGAATGAGTGCTGCTTTAAAGGGTCTTTTGACAGTTATGTCCCTTGATGCGTTCATGATTGGTGTTCGTCATGTTGGATGCGCAAGAGATTTGGGTATTGCTTGAGATTTTGAATATTTGAATAATGCCCCTCCCAAGAAATGAAATAAGATTCAAACCCATGAGCCTTCTCAAGGGAACGCATTTCGAGTCCAAGTACCTCGGCACAAGGAAGCGTTGTCAGCGATGTTGATGAGTTTGGGGGCTGATGCTGGTGAACGTTATTCAAGATCACATGACCACGACGTCATTCGGCAAGGGCCCCGTCCATTCGACGATGCGTGGATCATCGAACCATGGTAAGAGCTTGTCTGCCCAAGCTTTGGAATCGCCGTCCATCAGCACGCCCGTCACACCACCTCAGCGGGCCCTTTCCACCTAGTTTCCGATGCTGCTCGGGATCTCACGACGTACCTCTTTACCTGCCTTGGAACCGTTCTTGCCCACTGTCACCGGAATAATTCTCCTCTCACATCTTGTTTGACACCCTCCGTTTAAGCCCAGTATGATGCGCAGCGCCCCTCTCCGCGCCCTTCCTCGGGCTGCCGCTCGCACAAATACCCGAAGTGCCCCTCGCCGAACCTTCCTCCGCGCCCGCAACGCATCACGCCCCCTTGAACGACTGGACATTGGTAGCCTATCCCGCGCTCGCAACGACTACGACCGCGACCGTACCTACTTCCTCGCGGCAGGCGCCCTCGCCGGTGCCATTGGCATCGTATTCACGGGTACAAAGCTCTACAAGGCCATTCAGGCAGAGAACAACAAGAAGCGCAAGGCGGCCGGCGAGCCCGCGGCTGGAGTCACACAACTCGACGCCCCCACCGTACCCTCGGAGACCTTCACGACCGACGGCGGCGTCAAGCGCAAGGTGGTCGTGCATGACGAGGACGGCTATGAGATTGTGCCCACGGGCAACGGCACTGTGCCCGACTTTCCGCGCCACCTCGAAGTGCCCTCCTCCCACGATGCGAGCCAGGCCGCTCAGCCCATCGCCGCGACGGTCCAAGACGACGCCGGCATCGAATACACCCTCGTCGGTCTCGGCCTGCGCACTGTCAGCTTCCTCTCGATCGGCGTCTACATTGTCGGCTTCTACGTCGCGACAGCCGACATTGCCAAGCTGCAACACCACCTCGTGAAAAAGGTCAACCCCATCGCCTCGACCCTGATCCCGTCGGAGCGCGACACGCTGCGCCAGTCCCTCCTCGACCCGGCCGAGAGCGAGGCGACGTGGACGGCGCTGCTGCAGGACCTCCAGTGCCGCAGTGCCTTCCGCATCGTGCCCGTCCGCGACACCGACTTCCACCACCTTCGCGACGCCTTTGTCCGCGCCGTGCAGACGCGCTCGAACCCCAGGCCGCAGGAGTTTGGCGACGAGGCCTTTGGCGAGTCTGTGCGCACGCTCAAGGCCATCTTTAACCGCGGCAAGCTGCCGAAGACGCGAGAGCTGCTGATGCTACGGGACGACAGGGGCGCGCTGGACGTGCTCTACGACGACGGAAAGGGCAGGCAGCCCGTGGGACGGGTCGAGGACGAGCGCGTGTCGAGACTGCTGTGGTTGAATTACCTCGCCGGCAAGAAGGTTGCGTCCGAGGTGGCGAGGAAAAACATCATTGAGGGCGTCATGGAGTTTGTGGAGCGGCCGGTCGGTACTGTTGCGACGCAGGTGCTGTAACAGTGGATGTATGAAGTATTTATTCAGAAAGAGGTTGCACGGGAACCAGGTGAAAGAAATGTACAACATGTCAATGGCGCGGCAGCATGGTTGAAGGATATCTCAAGTCTATTCCACACCTTCCAACCATTTGCTACGAGGAGCGAGGTGCTCTCTACTGCTCATATTATAGTCTCGATCTTGGGACCTCCATCAGCGCCGACCCAAGTACTGTACGGCTGTGAATGACGTTCTTACGCCTTGATGGCGTTGGCCGCCTGGACGAGCTTCTTCAGCTGGCCATTCTTGGACAGGGTCTGCAGGTCGGAGTTGCCGCCAATGTGCTTCTTGGAGATGTAGTTGTTCGGCACGCTGCGCTGGCCGGAGATCTCCTCGAGGGCGTCCTGGAGGGCGGCACCATCGTCTGTGTGGGTTGTTAGCACGATGATATTGCAGAGGGAACACGAAAGAACCGCGAAGCAGGAGTACATACCTCGAATGTCGAGCTCAACGGTCAGGAAGTCGGCGCCGAGGTCGTTAAGGGTTTGCTTGGTGGCCTTGCAGTGTGGGCAGTAGGTCTTGGAGAAGACAACGACGGCATTGTCGTCGATGTACTTCTGGACGGTTTCCTTGGCTTGCGACATGTTGATGGCTGGTGCGGCGGAGAAGAAGCGGCGGAAGAAGGACATTGGTTTGGAGGGGTAGACGTGTCGGCGACGCAGGTGGCCGAGGTACGGTGGATATATATGCGGCACGAGTCTCTTAGTGGAGGGGCTCCGAAGGTGGTGACGGCGATGGGAGGGTGAGCTGCACGGGGATTTGTCAGGTACTCGTCTCGCCTCGAGAGCGTAGATGGCGCAATCGGTCCCTTAACATAAGCCTCCGAAGCACACAGAGGCCGGAGAGTGGATCGAAGCAGGACGCACTGACCGGGAATTACAAATGGTGTCAAAAGGGAGCGTTTGAAGACTGGTATCTGGGAACTCTGGGCTGGCGACGGAGATGATGTGCTTTAGTGACTAGGGTCCTGTGCTTGGGATTCCATTTTTCGAGATGCCGGCCCTCGGATATGCTAATGATGTAATGAGCTTGTATCCAAGATGTGCTTAGGACGCTAAAAGACGATGCAAGTCCACTGTAATTGCCCGGCATTAGTGGGCATGGAGGCTGTAGCAGGTTGCGGCTTTCGGCCACCTCACCTCGCGATGGATGGCATCAGGATCAAAACATAATGATAACATGTGACAACGCTGAATGACCAAAGAAGCGATTTCGATTTAGAACTGCTTTTTCCCAATAACCAGCTTACCATCATTCTGCGAGTGGACAGCCCCCCGAGCCCCCTCTCTCTGTATTGGCTGCTACTGTTGGTAAGGATGACGGGCTTTGTCAGATCGTTAAAGCTTATGACCGCTGGCAACAGCCGGCTATCATTTGCACGATTGGCTGGCCATGCGAGATCGTTCCAGAAGCCACCTCTCTCATTCCTTGTGACACAGCAGCCAGCCAAGGGTCCTCGTAGGTGTTGGCCAACTTGCCTCTTCGGTGACTAAACGAAACACGCTGGAGTTACTTTCTCGTCTTCGAATGCAAATTTCGCGAATCTCGTCACACCTGTACCACACGCCTTGGATCCTATTGCATCACCCATCTGCAACCTGCGCCGTCCAACTCGCATCATCTTGCCATCAGTCGCCACCCCAGATTGCCCAGTCGGTTCATTGAGTCAAGCTACTTCGTCGAATGCCCTCGTGATAGGCCATCCCCAGGTAAGGCACGTTGGGAACACCGTCCTTCCCCCACCTGACCAATTATCAAGTCCGACGACAAGCGATCTGTCATTCGTCACCAATTGCCTTGACGTTTGCCTCTGTCGATTTGCAGTGGGCTCCATCCTCCCACCACCCCCATCTCTCATGCATCCCCCCCCCTCCTGACGCCGTCAGCTTGCCTCCAAACTTGGACAAGCGAGAAACGCTGACAGCGCATCCCGCTCCAGACAGTCCCCGACAGCCTCACGCTTCTTGAGGAGCCTCCCCCACCGGTCCGTTCCTCGACCCTTGACCCTGCCAATACGGTCGCCGATCCCGTCTCTGCGAGGCAAACCAGCCCGCTTCGCCCATCGTCACTTGGGTTCACCAGGCGCCGGCAAAAGTCTTAATTCAAAGGGGCAAAAAATAAAAGACCCAGAAAGGAAACCTTGAACGCTCGTCCCTGTCCGCCGAGACCCCGCGACCACGACGACGACACCTCCTACCTCCACCCTTCGGCCTCGCTGACGTCCTCGCATCGATTCGCTTCGCCTCGCTGCGCTGTCTCGCATATCCCCGCCCTTTATACCCTCAAACCCCTCCCTCCCAGTCTGCAGCGTCCTTAGCTTTAAGGACCGCACCATCTCGCCAAGGTGGCTTCCGACTTCCCACTTCTCGCATCTTCCGGTGCCCTCTCGAGCATCACCGCCCTCTTACCGACCTCCGCGCAGGTCTATCTTGACAAGTCTCTCACTCGCTTGGCTGAGACCATCACCATCTCCTCAGGTTTCGTCGCGGAGAAACTAGGCGTCGACCCTCACATCGTCTTGTACACCACCATTGGCTGCATCCTGCTGGCCGTTCCTTTCAGCATGTCGAGATACGGCTGGCCTATAAATCGGGAATCCTTGTCACCCTATGGCTCCTCGTTGGGCGGCGTCCCTAATATCACAGACGACGACTTTAGCTACATCACCTCCGAAGACCTCCACGAACCCGCAGGCGGCTCAAGATACCAGCCCCGCACCCACAATGCGGTCCCTCCCGCGCCCGAAGATGATATTCTGCTCTTCAAGAACAAGGGCGTGACTTATCCCGTACACTTCCCCGCCTACACCATTGGTGACGGCAAGCTTCGTGTATGCGACATTCGTGATCGCATTGCCGTCGAGCTTGACCTCTCCGACCGCCGCGCTCGTCGCGCCAAGATTCTCTATAAGGGACGCCAATTGAAGGAGCCAGCGGCACCCGTCCGCGATTATGGCGTCAAGAACAACAGCGAAGTCATGGTGGTCCTGCCCGATATTGCTCCCGGTGAGGAGAGTGGCTCCACATCGGACGAGGAGATGGTAGTTGTTGCGGACGATCGAGGCAGTGCCGGAGGCGTGGGCGATGACAAGAAGCGTCGGAAGAAGAAGTCGAAGAAGTCAAAAAAGTCAAAGACCGAGGGCAGCCCGCGCGACAGCGCTTCAACGTTCTCTCTGCCGGGTCGCGACTCGGATACGCCGTCGTCACCTCGGCCCGCTACTGCGACAGGCCCCGGCCCCATTGCGGCTCTCAATGAACTCGACAATCACTTCATGACGACTCTGTACCCATTATGCCAGGACTTCATGGCGAATACTCCGACAGATCCGAAGAAACTGGAGGACGAGCACCGCAAGATTAGCGAAACGGTCATGATGCAGGTCATCCTCAAGCTTGACGCTGTAGAAACGAATGGTGACCCAGACGCGCGGGCGCGCAGGAAAGAGCTTGTCCAGAAGGTGCAGAACGTGCTGAAGGACTTGGACACGAGACTGAAGAAATGAGCCATATCCTGTCTACAGGCGAGGACGCGGCATGGACATGTTTGTTTGCATGGATTCCCGAGAGGGAGACGACGGCGGCGGTATTCCGGGCGCAACTGCATGGCGTAAACTTGCATCTACAACACCCCGGCCTGATGCAACGCTTTCAGCCCTGATGTTTCATTTGTACATAATTCTTTCGCGGTTAGACGCAATGAAACCGGCGGCCACGAACTCTTCGGTAGCTTGCCAACCGATTTCCGTTGCAAAGGCGGTGGCATGCGATGTACTCTTCGTAACTGATTCGTTGCCATTTGGTATCCAGCGTGTCGCGTGCCCTTTAATCGTCTACTTGATCTGTTTGTCTGTCGACCTACTGCGCTACACTGCACGTCCCCCATCCCTCGAAGACCGGAATCGATCTCAGCACAAGCTACGCGTACTATGCTCTATAGCATAACTCAGCAGAACTGTGCTCAAAGCCAACTAATCGAGAGCGTTCGGACACAAGGCAGTGCATGTTGCTACTCTGGCCTCGGAGCACTAAGATCAATTAAGGTCCTAGGCGATTCGCGACTGATATTCGTCTAGTCTTCTGAGGTGCCAAAGGAAGCCTTAGCCTACGGGGAGCGGTTCTATCCAAACCACATCGCGTTCTTGCAGGCCGCACGAGTGATTGATCGAGGCGGGATTGTTTCCCGAGTCGCCTATCAGGGTGACTGATGACGTGATGAGCCGGGCTTTACCAGGTGTGGCCACTTCTGTGCTGCCCCACCTAGGTGGTGCCAGCTGGAAGAGGCGGCCACCGAATTATGCTTCCACGTGACGAATTTGCTAGGTCTCAACAGCCCTAAGGTGAAGGCCAGCAGGAACAGTGCCTCGCTTGCCGCAAACCCCAAGCAGGGCTCCACAATCACCGCCCTCCTGTGGTCGATGGAATATTTCGACTCGTCGCCCTGATCGCGAACTTCCTGTCCCCAGCAACGACCGCTACTAACACCCAGCTCAACAGCACCAAATCTCCACGCGGCATCATCGCCCCTGAGGTTTGTTTCCGAGCTGAACGTTCAACCTTCTTCGTCTCTACTTTTTCAGCGGTGACGGACGGGAACGATGTCGTCTTTCGAGTCTGTGGTGAGTCTTGCTGCACCGCCATATTCCCATTCGGCAATCCGTCAATTCGTGGGCGACGCAGCGCGGGTCGCAGGACAGGGCAGAGCAGAGCAGGATCACACAAGAGGAGGACAGTGGGAGGCATCATCGACACAACTGCTTCTGCGTCTCGCAATACCTTGCATTCGCGCCGCTGCGCCCGCACCACGATTGTCGAGAGCGCTTGGAAATCAACATCTTGCCCTCTTCCCCCGGCACACATGGCTGACCGAAACATTTACAGGTCGTCATTGACGGCAAGGGCCACCTCCTCGGTCGCCTGGCCTCTATCGTTGCCAAGCAACTCCTCAACGGCCAGAAGATCGTCGTCGTCCGCGCCGAGGCCCTCAACATCTCCGGCGAATTCTTCCGCGCTAAGCGTACGTCTCTCACACATTCACACATTCAATGTCGTGGCAATCAACCCAGTCGAGCGGCGAAGGCATCAACATTGGCGACTAGACTGGGAAAGGCCACGGCAACGAACCATGGGAGAACGCAATGCTGACAGCCATGCAGTCAAGTACCACGCCTACCTGCGCAAGATGACCCGATACAACCCCACCCGCGGTGGTGAGTCCTCCTCCGCCCGAGCCGAAGCATCCTCGATACAGCGGCTGATCCGATTACAGGTCCCTTCCACTTCCGCGCTCCCTCCAGGGTCTTCTTCAAGGCCGTCCGTGGCATGATTCCCCACAAGACTGCCCGCGGTGCCGCCGCTCTCGAGCGCCTTAAGGTCTTCGAGGGTGTCCCTCCCCCTTACGACAAGCAGAAGAAGATGGTTGTTCCCCAGGCCCTGCGTGTCCTGCGGCTGCAACCCGGCCGCAAGTACTGCACTGTCGGCCGTCTCAGCCACGAGGTTGGCTGGAAGTACCAGGACGTGGTCGCGAGGTGGGTTTTCTCCTCTTCTCTGTCCATGACAGCGAGACGAGGGGACATATGTGCTGACTC